TGGAGTTTCAGCTTCAGCATCAGTCCTTCCAATGAACACCCAGGACTGATCTCCTTTAGGATGGACTGGTTGGATCTCCTTGCAGAGCTTGTTAGAAAGGCATAAATAATCTCAAGCCCCAAACCCACTGTATCAGGATCTGCATTTTATTACCCAGAGCCCAGGTGACTTGATTGCACATCAATTTTGAGAAGCAGTGCATGAACATTCTGGACAAGTGTGACAAGCTGACGTTCCCCGAGGGCCATGGCAAAGCCAACAGACAGCAAAGCAACAGCTCTAACCTTTGCTCAGGATTCTCCACCTTCCCTGCTCTGCACCCAAACCCACCCTTGGCTTCCCACAATTTCCTTCCACAACGGCCTCCCACCAGACCTCGACTCCAGCCTCAGCCCACTGGAGCCACCAGCACAACCCAACCCTCCCTGCTCTTGGTTTCCTCTCCTTACAACAGTTCCAGCTTTAAACATGCCAGGGGTGCAATGGGAGCTCCTGGGGAGGGATATATGGGAATAAGAACACAAGGACCACTGCTCCCAAAACAGGCAGAGGTGGCAGAGGCCATATTTTATAAGAGATGTTGGCAATAACCTTGGATTTTAGAATAATGTAAAAGAAAAATGCCTTTTGAGGCATGCTCAGGGTTCAAATTTGCATTATCTTCTTCTGCCTCTTATTTTGCCTTTTTAATATGAAAATTTCAAACATACACAAAAGTAGAGAGAGGCGTGTAATGGACTCCAGGCACCCATCACTCAGCTACAATGATCACGAACTTTTGACAGTGATTCTACCTCGCTTTAGAGCCTTGAGGGAGATGATTCTCTGAGCAGTGACCACCGAGCTGTTGTTCTCCACGACAGCAAAACGAACAAATATGAGATCTTCGAAGTGAACCCGGAAGAGGAACTGTTCATTCCACATGGGGTTCAGAGTATTGCGGTGGATGGGCTTCGTGCGGAAGTGGCAGCTGTCCAAGGCCATGCCCAGGACATCGACCTCAATACATGGGCTCCCGGTGCTATTACTCGGGCACACGTTCTGCCCAGAGACAATCTGAGGGGAAGAAAGGGTCAAAGTCACTGGAGTTGCAAAAGAAACAGATGTCACCACTGAGCCTCACTGCTTCCCTCTGCAAAGAAAGACAAAGAACCTTCTGGAATGAACCAAGTAAATGATTAATAAGGCTGCTAAGAAAAAGAGACTGGAATCATGGGAAATTGCATCACTGGAATCATGGGAGAGTCTATTTTGTCAACAGCATTCACCTAACTATAACCTTTCAACTGTCAATATACTTAAATATCTTCAAAAAGCCACACAATTAAGATGAAATTGTTTGTCAAGAAGTTGAGAAAAAAAGACCTTAATTGTGAAGCCACAAATGTGTTACTAACATTCTCTTCAAAGTGTTTTAGGTGTATCTTTTATAACTCCAAAATGTTTTTCTTAAATAGTTAAGGTCTGGATCGAGTCACAAGGAATGCTGTTAAAAATTTATAGCCTTCTATCAACATGACGCTATAATCAAGTCTAGCAGAAATGGTCACACAGGAAAGGAGCTACTGCTCTCCTGTCTTAGGGAAAGAGGAAATGCAGTTTGGTGGTAGGATAATCTGTGAGTTGGGGTTTCCCAGGGGTGTGAGGTATTGTGAGCAGACACTGCTTGGCATTCCTCCTTAGGAGGGAAACAGACGAGATCTAAAGATGGACAGAAGGATAACTTCATCACTCCCTGTCTTTTCTAGCACCCATTCAGTGTTGTGTTTTTTTTGTTTTTTTTTTTTTCCCCTCAGCTAAGAGGGAGTGAGAGAAGCTGGAAATAAAATTGAGTAATGAGCTACGAGGACTCTGATGTTAAGGGCAGTCTGTGGAGTTCTGACAATTAGTTAATTAGACAATAAAAGGAATAAGGAGAGGCCAGGAAGGACTATAAGGAGGGAAGATGTTTAATTGATTTGTATATTGATGCCTGTTTTACTTTTCTTAAGAGCCTATTAGAGTGTAAGATGCCTTGCTCTAACAAGCACCTCAGCTTTTCCGGGGTGCACTGAGAGTTATGATTCTGAGGGCCCTGGAAGACAGAACTACTACCACCAGTACGGAGGCGGAAACAGGGGAGGGGGTCAGCACTCTGCCTCTGGGCTCTGGCAAGTACAGTACCTGGTGACTGTGCACCTAAACCTCAGCTGCTGCCTTCTGAGAAGTAAAGAAATTCTTTTGGGAACTAAATCTGCACCAACAAAATTGTGACATGAGAGTTTGGCCATGCCTTGAAGTCAAAAGCAGTTCATATTCAGTAGGGCTTAAACACCTTCTTATATTCTCTTGGGACCACAGGGGCCAGACTTACAGTTAAAGAATAGACGGCAGGCTCCAGGTTGTCCAGGTCTCTTTCCAAGGGGGAGAACTTCTGATACATGGAACAGTTCTTGTCCCACAGAACTGGGGGTTTCAGAACATAACCGCAGCCACCATTGGCCTCAAACATGGCAGCATTCAAATGTAAAGAGAGATCTGTAAAATAGCATCACTTGTTATTTGGCTGCTTAAGTGTCATCTTACAAATAGACTTTACCGATTTTCTCCAAACTTAAACAGGAAGAAGAGAGAACTATCCATTCACTCCATAGATTGAGTGCCTACTATGTGTCAGCTCTTGGGCACCAGAGATACAGTGTGGACCAAGACGCAAGATACCCACAGTCTTCATGGAGCTCACTGTCTATGGGATATGCCTCGTTTCCTGCTCCAACCCAGGAGCCATTCAAAAAAACTCCTGCCACTTAAAACCCCTTCTGCAAATTAAAATTTGCAACATCCTTTCAAAAACTAATCTTTGAAATACTTCATTTTATACTGAATTTTAGAAAGGCATAATGGCATTTTCTTATCCCCAAACACCAAACCATGCAGACAATCATACAACGAATTCTTGCCTTTTCAAACGTAAGATGAAATCTTAAGAATCCAAGAAAGACCAGGAAAAGAGCCAAAGAAACATATCTTTTCCTTGAAATCTCAATTTCAACTCATAAATTACAGTATTTCTACCTCTATTTTTAAATTGTAGTTAGGTATGAAAAAACAATCATTATCACATGTGATTCACATTATGTCCACAATCCCCTCAATAATACACTCCCCTGGGAACCCTCACAACGGCTTCCAGTCTTCTGTGGCCAGGTTTTATTTGGCAGAGTTGTCTGATGAATGGTTGGATCTCTGCATGGTTTGGGGCTCGTACACACCCAAATGCTCATCTGATGGCAGAAGTCTGTAGAAAAGCTGCTTTCCAACTGAGCAAGAAGTTTATGAGATACACCTGACAAATGTCCCCTCTGACAGATTCCTTCCATGTGCAGAATGAATTCTGCTACCTGGACCAACATCAAGGAAAAGTGTGGCAAGTAAGCCCCGCAGAGCAATGAGAAGTTGGCCTCTCTCCTTGTCTTGTGAGTAAAAAAATTTCCCCATAAGTGGTGTTGGCCGGGATTATGTGCAGGCATTTCTGGGGTCAGATGTCTTACACACACATCAAAGCTCCTTGAGCCTCTGTCTCCCTTATCAATAAAATTAGTGCATTGGATGCTACGAGCCCCAATGTGCCTGATTCATTGGGGACAATTGCCTGCAACAGGAAAAAACTCTCTTCCTGGTAGAAAACAGGCTATCCTGTTACAGAGGAACACAGACGTGGGCAAGGATGGGTCAGGTGATTAAGCCTCATTCTAAGAACTTGTGTGTACTAGTGCCTCCCAATAACCCACGAGGTAGATTCTTTTCGTATTTCTCATTTTTATAGATGAAGAAACTGAGGCATGAAAAGTGAAAAAGTCCAAGGCATCTAGCTAGTAAGAAGTGAATGATAAGGTTTGAACACAGGCAGCTTGACTCACAGTTCCTAATCTTAAGTACTGGGCCATATAATATGCATCTCGCAAGGGTGTCATAAAGATAAGCGAGATAATGTGCAAAAATCCCTACCCCAGCCTTTGGCACATAGAAGGTGCTCGATAAACAGTAGGTATCAAGTCATGATTATACTGGCCACGCTCATTTAGGTTTGAAGTCTGATTTCATTGGCATTGTGTCTATCTTTGTAGCTCTGCAAAACTTCAAAGCGCCTTTCCTAACTAAAATCTCACTTGGTGATTTGGTATGTAAAACAGATCTACGTGCAGCTGCTCAGTTAGAATAAAGATGGGGCTTCAATCTAGCCCTCCTACTGACCCCTAGGGTGGTCCCCAAACTTCAACTAGGGCTATAGTTTTAAAACCTGTTTTAACCAAGAATGAATGTGCACAGATGTATGTAACTCCATCAACCCTCTCAGTCAATGCATGGGATGGCAGATTAAGCATATCCTTTACCTTTGTGTCCTTCTAGTCATTAAAAACCCTGTGTGAAGTTGACACATTTTCATAACCATTACGCTTATTTGGGGGCTGGAAAAGTCATCAGAAAGTGTATGACGATTATTCAGAAAAGCATAATAAATATTAATAGAAGTTTTTCTTTTGACTTGGGGCTGCATTTCTACATACTTGTAGGTCCTGGGACATGAGGGAAGAATCATTCTGACCCAAATGGAAAGAACTTTCAGGGGCTGTTGCCTATAATAACCAGGGTCTGCCTATCAGGATCAGGTCAGTTTCCAAACTTAAGAGTTTGTTTTACTGAGTGTAGACCTGGGATACTCCTGGTTTCAGATCAATGCAGCCCTTCTTGGAGTTGATGGAGCCATTAGAAATCTTGGGAAGAAGTGACCCTAAGTCCATGGGCATGCCTTTGGGGCACCAGGGTCCCCTGAAATTCAGGAAACTTAAGGCAAACAACCCATGGAACATATTTGGATTATTACAAGGGGTATGGGGAAGGGGTTATTTGTTATTTGGTTGGGATATTTCATGGAAAATCAAGCATTCCCTAACCCATGAATTTTTTTTTTCCAAAAATTAAAATATAGTGATTCCAATGTTGACACTTATCTGTCTGTTTGGACTTGAAATTCACCTGGCAATACCTAGAAGGGATCTAGACCAAAAATCAAGAATGATAGGTTCTGCTGAAGCTCATCAAGACAGTGTTGGCTCAGCACAACATGCATTTATTGAGCACCTACTGTGTGCAAGGGATTGAACTAGGCTCTACCCCCAGTGTGCGAGAATGAAGACCTTTTTCACAGATAGACTGAAATTGGACACAGTGTGAGCTTTGTTCAGCATGGAAGAGGCTTCATCATTACTGGCTGCATTGACTCAAAAGAGGATCTATGGCAGCACTCCCTCCTGGGTTGGAAGATGACATAGAGAAACTTGAGGATGACACAGAGAAACCTGAGTGGGGCAGCTGGAACACACACCCAGCTAGATTTGGGAAAGAGGCTGAGCCTCCAGGGGTGAGTGGAGGCCAAGCTGCAGCCTCCGTGTGTGCTTCCAGACCACAAGGAGGCTTGAGGAGGGCCCCATTCCTGTGTCCCCTTCAGCTGTGGCTCCCTCTGCCATCAGTGGAGCCAGCGTGTCTGCACCAGCCTCAGCACTTCAGGAGGAAGGACACGTCCCAAACCAAGTGCATTTCCATTTCCTTGAGAAAACCATTTAGCTAGTTATTTCAGTTCACTTAAAATATTTCCGTATCATCTCAACCAAGGGCGCCAGTGGACACACAGGGCCAGAGATATAAACCCACAAGCCACTTGGGACAGACTGAAAAGAAATTTTTACAGCTTTGAAAATATTTCACTATTATTTCCACTTGCGAGTCCAAAATGTACTGTTTTCATTACTTATCAAAAATACTTAATGAGAGCTAATGTTTGTGGAATGCTGTCTGCACTCCAGGCACTATGCTAAGTATGGTATTTCACCTGCATTATCTTATTTAATTTCAACTGAAAGGAGCAAATATAACAAGGGCGAGAAAATATGACTGATGTCTCTAACCAGGGTTGGCCACAAATGGGCTCTGGTGGCGCCAGTGCCAGGTGGCTGGCTGATCCCAGAGCTATCGCTGTGGTTTGACCTTGGCAGGAGACAGGGTTACGCCGTGGTGGATGGGTCAGCACGATTGGTTAGGATCTGATTCAGTGCACGTGAGAGAAAGGCGCAGGCTGCTTGACTGTTCAAAGAGAAGAATCTGATTTTTGAAAGAGCTTTGAGGAAACATTCCTCATCTGCTCTTTCTTCATCTGCTGTAGCTCTCCACCTCCCCCCACATCTAAGTGGAACCAGAGCGCTTTATCCTCTAAGCTCTGAGAGTCCTTGAATTTATAAGTCATTCTGTGACTGTGAGCAACTTAATTGCTCTTTGTCTTGGTTTGATTCTCTGAGAAATAGGGATTATAAAGGTTCCTACTTCTTAGGGTTGTTTCAGAGATTAAATGAGTTAACAAGGGTCAAGAGTGAGCACAGGCTGCTGCTGTTTAGTCTCTCAGTTATCTGACCCTTTGCGACCTCATGGACTGTAGCCCACCAGGTGCCTTAGTCCAGGCAAGAATACTGGAGTGGGTTGCCATTCCCTTCTCCAGGGGATCTTCCCGACCCAGAGATCGAACCTGGGTCTCCCACATTGTAGGCAGATTCTTTACCACCTGAGCTACCAGGGAAGTCCAGTGCACACGGAGCCGCCTGCAGTAAAAGCTAGCTTGTACTCAGGAGTTTTCGGCCTCACCTGTTATCCCCCAGGAGCATCTCATGGACAGAGAAGTCCAAACACCACTACTTTCTCTGTCCATATAATTCACAGACTTGTTTCCTTTGCATTAGCTGCTCGCTGAGCACTGACCATTCATCTCCATTTCAATCTCAAAGGGATGAGAAGAAGCTAAAATGGTATTAACTTGCAAAGTGTTTGGAAAGACCCTACTTTTTAACTGCAAGAAGAAAAAATGAGCAAGACAGTTACTAAAGAATGTTAAGAAATCTTTACCCTGTCAGGTCTTTAAAAACAAATTGGACACAGCTCTATCAATAGCAGTCCTATTTTTAAAAAGTGCTTTAACAACCTAGATGTCCAACTGCAGTTGGGTGGATAAGGAAGTTGTGATGCATATACACAATGGAATATTATTTAATGTTAATTAAAAAGGAATGCATGTGAGTCAGTTCTAATGAGGTGGATGATTCTGGAGGCTATTATACAGAGTGGAGTAAATCAGAATGAGAAAGACAAATACTGTATATTAATGCATATATATGGAATTTAGAAAGATGGTGCCAACTATCCTACATGCAGGGCAGCAAAGGAGACAGATGTTAAGAATAGACTTTTGGACTCAGTGTCTGGGTCGGGAAGATCCCCTGGAGAAGGAAATGGCAACCCACTCCAGTATTCTTGCCTGGAAAATCCCATGGATGGAGGAGCCTGGTAGGCTATAGACCATGGGGTCACAAAGAGTCGGGCATGACTGAGCGACATCACTTTCTTTCTTTCTTTCCAATTAAAATAAATAAATTAACAAATAATAATAATAATAATTCTAAAAAGTGCTTTAAAAATGGAGCAGGAACAAGAGACTATTCAGGACTCCTTGAGGTTTTTTTTCCCCTATCGCCTTAACTCTGAAAAGTCAAGAGTACAATCCAGTGTCTAATTCTCTTCTCTTTTCTGTCTTCTGTATTTTTACCCTCACACAGACCCTAGTTGGGACTCTTGTCCCTTGAAAACAAGTTTTTTGTTGAGATGTAAGATGCAAAGGAGCGAGGGGAGAAGGCAGTCCTCTGGGAGAAGCAGGCCCATTACCATCTGTCTGGTAGTTGAGTGCCACGAGCTGTATCCCATGGAGCCAGAACAGGAGGGGGTTGGGGTTGGAAGAGTCAATGCGAGTGGCAGCTGGGTACGTCCTCAGCAGCTGGCAGGCGGTGTGCTGGATCAGTTTCTGAGAATACCTGCGACATAGACGTTTGGCGGCATTTTCATTCAGCGAGGAGATATGGTAGCATTTGGGAGTTCTAATGATAGCGCTGAGGGAGGTGGTTGGGTTGACGGAGAAAGGAGAGTCCTCCCAGGCCTGTCGCATTCCTTCACAGGAACCTAAACCCCCCCAAAGATTAGCCTCAGATTAGTGCAGAACACTTGAGGTATTTTAGAAAGAGAAACCTGGACACCGCAGGCTACAATCACAGCACAGGACACATCGGCGTGCGCCTAGAGTATTACCCGTGAGTTAGCCCCCACTTTGAGACTAAAGGACAGCCGTTAAGGGTGTGCCTTTCTACCTGCTAGATGGAATGCTACCCGTTCACCAGTCAATAAATAATAAAGCCAACTAGATCTTCCCCCCAAAAGGAACAGTTATAGAGCTTGAAAGTAAGTGTAACACCAAATTAAATTAAAAGCTCTAACGTCCTTTGCCTCAGTACCTCATCTTTCTTGTGGATATATTTGCACAGATATAAAACAATGTATATGCAAGGTATTCACTCCAGCAGTATTTTTTTACAGCACACACACACACACACACACACACACACACACACAAAGCAATAAAAACCCAGGAAGCAACCCAGAAGTTCTACCAGTGAGAAATGGTTAAATAAATGGCAATATATCCACACAACAGAATACCATAGGGACATGAAGGAGCGTAAGGTAGATTATATGTACAAAAAGCTATGCAGAAAGCTATAGTGCATATAAGAGTTATACATTTTCAGTTATATCCCATTTGGATTATCTTAAAAAGAATCTTATTTTTCTTGAACTAAACACAATAAACTTAATAGTGGTTACCTCTGGGGAGTAGAACTGGGACGTTGCGAGTGGAAAGAAACTTTAATAATACTCTATAGTTTGAGTTTTTTAACTATGAGAATTTATGACTTTGACAATAAAAAGTAATTAGACATAAACTGGATATATCTTCTGGAATTATAATGGGGAAGAGTACAGTTCCAAGAACCATGAGAAGCTTCCAAGGTGGCTCCAATTTTTACTTTTGAGGCAAACACTTTTAAAACATCTTCAGTGAAAGACTATTTTTTAGGAAGCTAAGAGGATAATTTTGTAATTAAAAATATATTTACACCACACTTAGATAATATGAATAATCATGACTATAAAAAAAAGATTAAAAATTTCCAGGGAAGTGCTTAGTGAAATCTCAGAATTCTCCAGCATGCAGAATCAGACAAAGATATTGTCAGAAGGTGACTTTACTTTTTCCAGATGTTTTGTTAAATGGTGCTGTCTCCCCGGGGCTCATTCTGCCCGGATTGTTGCCAAAAATGGACTTCCTGCTTTTCCTTTCTTTTCCTCTGCTAGAGCCAGATGCATTTAGAGTTGACAGGCCTGTTCCCATAAAATGAAAATAAATAAGCCAAAAACTACAAGCAAGGGAACTCAACATTTTCCATCCCTGCTAATGTTTATTTTGAAGTCCTGCTACTCCCTTCTAACCCAGTTCAGAAGATCTACTAGCATTTTTAGCACGATTAATAATAGCATTGCAAGTAATGACAGTGAAGTTTTTATCTCTGTAGGCAAATGGGACAAGACCTTCAGGATTATTACAAGATGACCACAAAATCACACCCATACCTATTGGGTTATGCAACAGAAAGATTTTGAAAAACTGCAAGAAAAAAATCTTTTAGAGCCTAAAGGATTAAGACTCTAGAACCTAATTAGTGCAGTTTGGAGAGATGAAAGAATGGCCAAAGGCCTGAGCTGTCATATAATTGTGTGCTAAGTCGCTTTAGTCCTGTTCGACTCTCTGCGACCCTATGGATTCTAGCCTGCCAGGAACCTCTGTCCATAGAATTCTCCAGGCAAAAATACTGGAGTGGGTTGTCATACCCTCCTCCAGGGAATCTTCCTAACCCAGGGATCGAATCCACAGTCCCCTAAGTCTCCTGCCCATTCGCGGCAGTTTCTTTACCACTAACACCACCTGGGAAGCCCATATCATAACTGTCTAGGATCAATTCCTGCCCATAGAAACCTTGATTTAACATCTACCTTCTTGGTTCCTCAGTTGCCTTATCTGCAAAATGGGTGCAGTGATAGGAACTCATTCACAGGGTTAACCTGAGGATTAAATGGGAAACAGATTATGCTGATAACTATGTTTCAGAGCTTCTCTTCCTCACTCCTGGTCCAGCCACTCTTTGGATCCTTCCTGTCTGGCCAGTGCTAGGGCACATCAGGAACTTCACAGGTATTTGCTGAATGAGGAAACAAATTCACACCAAACAAACCTGGCGCCTGGGCAGGATGTAAAGGCAACAGTGAAACCAGAGTTGCCTTCAAACTGGTCCCACTCTCTACAATTGTACCATTAGAGAGTAATTCCTTTAGCTGAAGCAGTATTCAGGAAGGCCACTTTAAGATGAAAATAAACTTTCCGAGAATACCATGTGAGAAGACAGGAGTAAGTAGTGTTTAATAAGAGTGTGGGCTTCCCAGGTGGCTCAGTGGTAAAGATTTTGTCTGCCAATGCAGGAGACCCAGGAGAAGCGGGTTCGATATCTGGATTGAGACAATCCCCTGAAGGAGGAGATGGCAAACCACTCCAATATTCCTGCCTGGAAAATCCCATTGACAGAGGAGTCTGGCGGGCTACAGTCCATAGGGCTGCAAAAAGTCGGACACAACTGAGCTCAATAAGAGTGTAGACTCTGGAATTTAAACCCTGTTCCCTGCGGAGCGACCTCACACAAATTACTTAACCTCTCTCACCACTTATTCCTCATCTCTAAGAGAATCCTGGTTAGGATTACATGAGATAATGTATATCTGCATACTTAGTAGGGTGTCCTGTTCAGAGAAAATGTTCAGTGCAAAGTAGCTATGGGGCTTCTATATCTTTTTTTTTTCCTCTGAAGTATCTGAAACTGCGAAGATGCACAAACTTGAACAAGTGAATTCTTTATCTTAAAACTTTTTTTGTGAATTTTGCCCTCTACACAATGATGTAACAGTGGATTTTCTCCCTAGTAAAACCGATGAAGGGTCAGAGTGAGGGGCTGCATTCATTCTGGGGTTTTTGCACACACCCTGGAACATGCTGACATCCCCCAAGGGTACATGATCCCCCTTTGAGGAGCCTGGGTGTTCTCTGGGGTGGGGTGAGCAAGCAAGAAAACAAGCGCTGAGTGATCAAGAAAAGGGAAAGAATCTGGAGAGGCCCAAAGACGTTATTGAAAGAGCAATAAAGACCCTTAATCTGCCTGGTTGGTCCCTTCACCAATGACAAGGACAACAACCATTTCCAATGAGCCAATGATTTTCTAGACAGTGTGCTGGTCACACTGTGCGCCTTATTGCCAATTTATATAACAACCTTGCAAGTTAGGACTGTTTATACAAAAACCTTGCAAGTTATGCCTCTTTCACCAGTAGAGAACCCAAAGTGCAGAGAAGTTATAGAACTGCCCTGGCCAAGTCACTTATTTAACATCTACCTTCTTGGTTCCTCAGTTGCCTTATCTGCAAAATGGGTGCAGTGATAGGAACTCATTCACAGGGTTAACCTGAGGATTAAATGGGAAACAGATTATGCTGATAACTATGTTTCAGAGCTTCTCTTCCTCACTCCTGGTCCAGCCACTCTTTGGATCCTTCCTGTCTGGCCAGTGCTAGGGCACATCAGGAACTTCACAGGTATTTGCTGAATGAGGAAACAAATTCACACCAAACAAACCTGGCGCCTGGGCAGGATGTAAAGGCAACAGTGAAACCAGAGTTGCCTTCAAACTGGTCCCACTCTCTACAATTGTACCATTAGAGAGTAATTCCTTTAGCTGAAGCAGTATTCAGGAAGGCCACTTTAAGATGAAAATAAACTTTCCGAGAATACCATGTGAGAAGACAGGAGTAAGTAGTGTTTAATAAGAGTGTGGGCTTCCCAGGTGGCTCAGTGGTAAAGATTTTGTCTGCCAATGCAGGAGACCCAGGAGAAGCGGGTTCGATATCTGGATTGAGACAATCCCCTGAAGGAGGAGATGGCAAACCACTCCAATATTCCTGCCTGGAAAATCCCATTGACAGAGGAGTCTGGCGGGCTACAGTCCATAGGGCTGCAAAAAGTCGGACACAACTGAGCTCAATAAGAGTGTAGACTCTGGAATTTAAACCCTGTTCCCTGCGGAGCGACCTCACACAAATTACTTAACCTCTCTCACCACTTATTCCTCATCTCTAAGAGAATCCTGGTTAGGATTACATGAGATAATGTATATCTGCATACTTAGTAGGGTGTCCTGTTCAGAGAAAATGTTCAGTGCAAAGTAGCTATGGGGCTTCTATATCTTTTTTTTTTCCTCTGAAGTATCTGAAACTGCGAAGATGCACAAACTTGAACAAGTGAATTCTTTATCTTAAAACTTTTTTTGTGAATTTTGCCCTCTACACAATGATGTAACAGTGGATTTTCTCCCTAGTAAAACCGATGAAGGGTCAGAGTGAGGGGCTGCATTCATTCTGGGGTTTTTGCACACACCCTGGAACATGCTGACATCCCCCAAGGGTACATGATCCCCCTTTGAGGAGCCTGGGTGTTCTCTGGGGTGGGGTGAGCAAGCAAGAAAACAAGCGCTGAGTGATCAAGAAAAGGGAAAGAATCTGGAGAGGCCCAAAGACGTTATTGAAAGAGCAATAAAGACCCTTAATCTGCCTGGTTGGTCCCTTCACCAATGACAAGGACAACAACCATTTCCAATGAGCCAATGATTTTCTAGACAGTGTGCTGGTCACACTGTGCGCCTTATTGCCAATTTATATAATAACCTTGCAAGTTAGGACTGTTTATACAAAAACCTTGCAAGTTATGCCTCTTTCACCAGTAGAGAACCCAAAGTGCAGAGAAGTTATAGAACTGCCCTGGCCAAGTCACTTAGGAGTGGAGCCCTGCCAGTGAAGCAGGTCCATGATCTGGGGAAGGACGCACCCATGGTCTTCATGGTGCTTCCCTGCTCTGAAGAACTTTTTGCATGGTGGCTCCTTGGGAAGGGACTTGGGATGGTGAAAGGTGAGATGCACAGAAATGGATGACGTAGCAAAATTAAACCAAGAGTAGAGCAAAATGAACACTTTTAAAAATTATTATATTCATGTAAGTTTTTAAGTTGTGTCTCAAAGAAATGGACACTGTAAGGTATTTTCCTCCTAAATTATTCAAACAAATCATAATGACAATAAATATTTAGAAGCTATTACGACAATGATTCTGGCAATGCAATTTAGTCATTATGAGAAAGGAAGTAAATTTGGGGAAAAAAATGTGAGAAACTTCAATTACTAAAAGAAAGGTTAAAAAGGGGGGGATTAGAATATAGCATACTTATAAAGGATGTGTGCTTTTTAAACACTTTAAAAAACAGCACACTTGGAATTTTAAAAACAAGCCAAACAACCCCATGTTCTGCCTCTGTCTCTTGTCAGAAACTGTACCAAATGACCTTTGACCCTTCCACGATCCTCTATCAGTAGAGAAATGTAATCTTTCATGGTGACTTCAAATATCTCTGGGAACTTGTGCTCTTTGTTGACTCAGTGCTTGAGAGGAAAAGACAAAGCCAGAGGAACGTTTTGGGTGCAGTGGCAACTAAATTTATAAAGAATAAGAGATGCAGTCAGTATGGTTCTTGGATGGAGTGGTCTTCACATTTGTTCCTGAGATGAGGGACATGCAGGCCATGAGGCTCATTGACAGTGAAAGAATTTTATCCCATGATAAGAACAATTTCACTAACTATAGATATGGTGTACTCATGAGACAGAAAGTCCGGATCTGTGAAACTAAACCTACATGGCCAGGTTCTTTCGTTTCTTTGAAATCTGTTGTTGTTGTTTAGTCTCTAAGTCGTGTCCGACTCTTTCGTGACCCCCTGAATATGTAGCCCGCCAGGCTCCTCTGTCCATGGGATTTCCCAGGCAAGATTACTGGAGTGGGTTGCCATTGCTGGCTACTTATTCACTCTTATCCTCCTCAACAGAATTTGCTAGCAGATAGGCAGTAGCAGCTGCCAAAAGTTTAAAAACAGTTTATATTTATATATTTTAAAAGATGGTAATGATAACCCTATATGCAAAACAGAAAAAGAGACACAGATGTACAGAACAGACTTTGGGACTCTGTGGGAGAAGGCGAGGGTGGGATGTTCTGAGAGAATAGCATTGAAACAAGTATACTATCAAGGGTGGAACAGATCACCAGCCCAGGTTGGATGCATGAGACAAGTGCTCAGGGCTGGTGCACTGGGAAGACCCAGAGGGATGGGATGGGGAGGGAGGCGGGAGGGGGGATCGGGATGGGGAACACATGTAAATCCATGGCTGATTAATGTCAATGTATGGCAAAAACCACTACAATATTGTAAAGTAATTAGCCTCCAACTAATAAAAATAAATTAAAAATTAAAAAATTAAAAATAAAAACAGTTTATAAGAGAAAATCTAAAATTGAGAAAGTTCTATGATTTTTATCCTCCTCTGGTGTATGAAGGGACCACTGGTTATCTAATTTTTTAATAGTCTAAGACCTCTGTCCCCTTTGCAGGGCAGAGTGTGAGAACTGGGTCTTAAGATAAAGCCTCTGGAAGCAGGATCTACATCCAGACCACCTTGAAAAAAATGAGGGTTGGTGTATTAATTTCCCTCTCAAGGTCAAATTCATCCAAGCTGCTTACTAACATTTAGATGGGTGCCCCAATGCCAGCTGCCTTCCTGTCCTCAGAAATCTTGTACAAGGGAATCTTTCTTCTTAATAAGAGGAGATGAATTTTTCTGACTTCCAGATATTTATGGATTTCCTGTTTGCCCTCTGCCTCCTGCTGCTCCATTTGGATGAGCTCACTAGCAGCACACAAGACAGGAGGGTAGTCCTAGGGTTAAGAGCAGGACTTTGGAGGCAGACGAGCTTCAGAATCAGAATTCTATCCTTTATTAACTGAAACGCACAATTTTGGGGGCAATGGTTTATCAGCGTAAGTTCACTTGTACTTCTAAAAATGGCCAATTGGGGAAACCTCCACTGAAATTTTGTCCTTGATCTTTGCATTTTGGGTGGAGACTCACTACCTAGCTCAGGGATGGGGCACATGACATAAGTCCTAGACCAGGGGTCCCCAATCCCCAGGACATAGACTAGTAGTGGTCAGTAACTTGTTAGGAACAGGGCCCCAAAGCAGGAGGTGAGGGGCAGGTGAGTGAGTGAGCAAAGCTTCATCTGTATTTACAGCCCTTTCCCATTCCAACTCCTATAAGATCAGCAGCAGTATAATGAATGTAACACTCCTGAATCATCATGAAGCCTTCCTCTGCCCTTCTCTCCCACCCCTTCCCCCATGCCATCTGTGGAAAAACTGTCTTCCAGGAAACCAGCTCCTGTTGCCAAAAAAGATTGGGGACCACTGCCCTAGACTATCAGAGCATTGCATGTCCTTGATCACATTGACTGGTTTGGGGATGGGCAAAAACCCAATAAAAAACAATGAAACTGCTGCTGAAAGTTCTGAAAGAGACTCATCCTGAACCTGAATCTAGAAGTATGCGGTGCTGGCCTGCTGCAGCTGCCTTGCCACCATGAAGGAAAAAGGGCCAACACAGTGGTGACCCACACAGTGGTGACCCAGTGAGAGTCAATGGGGTGATCCTATGAAGTGAGAGGAAAGCCCTGGATAGAGATGTATCTGAAACTTGTTTATCTCTTCATTTTTCAACACACGAGTCAATACATTTCTTCTTTGCTTATGCCAATTTCTGCCACTTTCAAAGAAAAGTCTTAACTGATATGCTCTGAAACCGTGGGCCATTATTTCATCTCTCTCAGATTGTTTTATGTAAAAATAGGGATAAATCTGCCTACTCACAGAATTATTATGAAGTCATTTAAGATGATGTATATAAAATATTTAATACAAATCCTGGTACTTAAAATTAAATGCTTAATAAATTTTAGCTATTAGTTGTTGTGAATATTATGATTATTATTAACTATTATGAAGAGAAATGGTATGGTCTGAAAAAATGATAATATTACGGTATTATCCACATCAGCATCAAAGCAAATAATAATAATAATAAATATTTAGAAGGTACTGTAACAGTGATTTCTGCAACACAGTTTAGTTATTTTGAGACCATTCACAATACCTGATTAAATAGCATATTTGTATCTCTTGGTATCTTTAAATGCTATAAATGATACTGTCTACTCTTACCTGGGAATTTTACTGCTTGGCAATAGATGACAAGGTCAGAAAGCTCTGGTGCAATCTGTCTGCTTTCCTTTTTATTCTGAGGAAGATAAAATTCTTCCCCCAGTTCCATGTCATAAACCTATTAAGGGAACAATGATACTGGTTTACAGAGAAGGTACTGATCAGATCACTTACCTCTGACTTCCCAAAGCTCTTTGTTCCTTTCTTTTGTCATCAGTGTGTTTCACTTGCTCTATCTTATCCATATACACATTCTTATCCATATACACATATACCTTCCCTAGAGAAAAGCTTTCTGAGAGCAATGGCTGAGTCTAACATTTTTCATCTTCCCCCAGGGCATATAGTTCAGGGTCTAAAATGTAGAACATTCAATGCATATTTGTTGAACAAATAGATGATGAAGTATGTATCTTCTGTGGCTCAAATTCTTGGCACATTTTGTTATTTTGTTCTCCAACAATGTCACTGCAACTATCAATTTGCTCAAAGTCTAACACTGTAAGGCACTTGAGGACTGGGTCCAGGTGTCTCATTTATTTTTCCATTCTTAGTGTCCTCCCTCTGCTAACACTTCCCAATCAGCCCCGTTTATCTTCTTGGTCATCCCAAACAACTTTAAAACTTCCGGCAATTCACTAAACATACCAGGTTGTCCTCCTGCTCTGAATGCCCTGTTTTAATCTGCTTCTCAACTTCATCTTCCAGATGATCTGATAACAATGTGTAATCACTCCTCTTTGTAATTATTTCCAAGCACTGTTGACATGTTTACTTCTGTTGCTAAATCACCCCCTGTGTTAGCTTAGTGCCTACCACATGCTACACCTCCAGTAGGTACTGGCTGGATGAATAAATGACTAACTTTCTATAAATGATAGAAGGGGGCCCATATCATCACTGTATGGGCTTTGGCATTCAAGAGAAAGTGAGGGGCAAGGTGAAGGGAAGGGATAGGGAGGGAGTGAAATCCTATCTGAAACTGACAAGAATACCATGTCCAAGTGCAATCGAACAGAAACCATTCACCTACCTTTCCTTTGTTGCAAGCAGAGTTATCCGCTTTCTTTATCCTCTTGGGGATTTCCTCATTATACTCAAACTGAAGTTTGTCATTACATGATTTATTTTCAGGTCTGTCTTCTAGAATGTTGTCTGAAAATGAGTTGGCAGGCTTTAGTGAATAAGAACTGAATGTTTTACTTTAAGGTTGTGTCTATACATCACTGCAAGAATATCCAGGTTCTTGTGCTTATCTATAAGACTGAGGTGCTGACTACATGTTACCAAAATAATGGCTTAAATTTTTAAATTTTGTTAAATGATATATTCATTTTAATTGAATGGACTAACTTACCAGTTAGTTTTGGTACCATATAGACATAATCTAAATGAGGAAACTCATTTTCATATAATTAGAACTGTGCACAGATTATGGAAGATACCCTGTCAAGAAGTTCTCAGCACACAAGTTTGGGAAAGGTTGAGTGGTTGAATCACTTTTTGATGGTACAGACATGATTTAATCACTCTCACTTTAAAACGAAGCTATTAGTTTCTTTTACCTCTAGAATTGTCAAAGCCAGAGGGGAAAAAGGCATTGTTATTTGCCATGCAGTTTTCACAAATATACTTAATTGGAAAGTAAAGTTTTCATAATTGTCTATCAATTTATGAAGGGAAAATCTTAAGATAAGGAATCAAGATAGATTTAAACATTTCCAAAGTATGACAGATAATCTTACACTTTGCTCTTACTTTGGTATTTCTATTCAAAATGACTGTAAAGGTTTTAGGAAAATAAACATGATTATGTTCTTTTAAAATGACAAACAAGAAAGCTCATTTCTCACCCACAATTTACAATCTCATCAGACCACAAATGCTTAGACCAAAATATCCTTATACCAAATCAGGGTCATGCAGGCTGCCAAGAAATAAATTAGATCAATCAGTTAATGACATTTTTATTCTTATAAGTGTCACATGCGAATCAGACCTAAACAATAGGAAACAGAATGCTGACATTCATGCAGTTAAAATGCCAGGTTCAAATGGCTTTACCTTCCTGACTGTTAGGAGCAGGAGAAGCAGTAAGGACATCTGCTACAGAAAAATAGAATCAGAAAGGGGATAAAAGTAAGGAAAATTAAGGCAAAAAGCCAGATAAATTAAATTAAGGTATGAAGTAAAGCATAAATAACAACAGCTTAAATTACAACATAAATGAAATAAGAACTCTTCCACTGATTTAATAGTTTGACTATTAAGGGATGCAAAGACTAGCAATAAAAGAAGTGCAAACATTGTTAACATTAATCATGCTGCCACATTCACACTACCTATCTTCAGTTACTGATGGTCCTAATAGTCTGCAAAACACTTCATGTTGAATGGATAGAAATTGATTAATTTGTTAGAATCATGCAATCATTAGACCTCATATATATGAAGTCACAGAATATCTATATAAAGTTGTATATTCAAATCTATAGTGCATGTTCAACGCTAGTTAAGATGTACAGCAAGGTTGAGGAAAAATTAATTGATATTGCTTAAATAAAATTTAATTGAATAAATACTCATTAAGAACTTACTGGCCAAAAGGCAGAGTAGTACTTCCTGAAATAAACGAGCCTCACTTGCAACTTCCTTTAGATTTTCTGGAAGTAATTTTCAGATAGTTCCCAGGAACTATCACAGTTTTATAGCGAAAAAAAGGTTTTAGAGAAATTTGCTCATTTTATATATGTGAAAACTGAGGACTAGAGTTGTCAAAGAGATAAACTGGGCTACCTAGGTGAGTTTTCAGCCTGACTTGCTTTCAATGGATTCAGAAAAGTGAAAGTGAAGGTGTTAGCCACTCAGTTGTGTCTGACTCTTTGTGATGCTATAGACTATAGCCCGCCAGGCTCCTAAGTCCATGGAATTGTCCAGGCAAGAATACTGGAGTGGGTTACCATTCTCTTCTCCAGAGGATCTTCCCACAGCTTTTGAGGAATAGGCTATAAGAAATGATCTTGACTCCTTCCTGTTATCACGCTTTTTCAGTCTCCCAATTAGAGAATATGCCCCTTGTGTTAACTGACAGGATTTCAGGTCAGTTTTTAGTTGATGGTATGAAGCAGTCAGGGCATCCCAGGTAGCTCAGCTGGTAAAGAATCTGCCTGCAATGCAAGAGACCCCAGTTCAACTCCTGGGTCAGGAAGTTCCCCTGGAGAAGGGAAAGGCTACCCACTCCAGTATTCTTGGGCTTCGCTGGTGGTTCAGATGGTAAAGAATCCACCCAAAGACTTAGGCTCCATCCCTGGGTTAGGAAGGTGCTCTGGAGGAGGGCATGGTAACCCACTCCAGTATTCTTGGCTGGAGAATCACCATGGACAGGGGAGCCTGGCTGGCTACAGTTCTTGGGATCACAAAGAGCCAGACATGACTAAGCACATGAAGCAATCAACTACTACTAAGGACAATTATTAAATGGACAGAGACTAGTATTATATCTGGGGGCAGAAACAGATTAGACTGTAGCTGCTGGCCATGATGGAGGCTCATGGAAACATGACTAGACAATCACACTGCATGAGAAGTGGATATTTGGAGGAGGCTTGGCTGTCTTTTTTTTTTTTTAGTTTTTTTTTGATATAGGCCATTTTCAAAGTCTTTAGTAAATTTGATACAGCACTGCCTCTATTCCATGTCTTGGCTTTTTGGCTGTGAGGCATGTGGGATCCCAGCTTCCTGACCAGGGATGGCACCTGCGTGCCCTGCAATGGAAGACAAAGTTCCAGCTACTGGACTTCCACGGACGTCTCCTGGCTGCAGTCTTAATGCAAGTGGTAAATGGTTGCTGGTCTGGGTATATCTACACATTAACAAAACAATGAGAAGTAATATAGTCTACATTTAAATGTTTAAGTAAACAGGAACTTTGGCATTTTTTTAATGACTACATATTTATCTTTCAGATGTTGCCAAAATTAAAACAATCTATCATCAGCAGTGGTACCTGAGGAAGCATTTTGTAATCCCTAGCAGAGATATTAATTTCATCCAGATGAAATACACCTGAAACCTAATTCTCTTGTAAGAAGACCCCTTCACCTGTAAAACAGGGGTAGGTAATATCATTCCTATGACTTTTTTGTAGTGCACCATTAGTCTTCACCCATGTTGTTTTCTCTTTTTGGTGGGGCCAGAAGGAAATGTCTGGCTGGCTTAGTAATGTGAGAACCAGGGTAGGGGGGCGGGTGCAGAAGGGGAATGATGCTTCATTTTTTTCCATGCTCTTGCAAAGCAAGAGTGAAAGCAGTGAAGGAGAAGCAGAGTATGGGAACCCGATGCTGCTCCCTGCAGGTGGTTCAGGAGATAGAAAAGATTTAACCACAGTCTACAAGTTCCACCAAGAGCATCAGACATGCCAGATACTGAAAGGGTAAGAATGTGGTCTCTCTGCTGTAATTCTACCTCTTTCTCTAGAAACCAATTTAGGAACAACTCCTGTGCTGCTTTCCACATCCTCCTCTTGCCTTTAATAATGGCTCTCGTGGCTGACAGAATCCCCTTCCTTGCTTGGTCCTCCTTGCTAAGTGACAGGATTCCAGAAACTCTTAGATAATATTACAACAACCTGTACTGTTTGTCTATAGATTGCCAGACTTATTTTGGAGAAAAAAAAAAAAGAAAGACACCAAAAAACCCAGTAGAAAAACTATCCAAGTGTGCTTCCCTGAGTACATCATCATGTTGGCTCTCTTACCATCAGAGAGGGATTCATAATCATAATCATATTCATCCTCTTCATCTTCCTCTTCCTCATTATTAGCAGGTGGGGAGTTGGCATTGCTACCGTTATAAGCCTGAGCTTGCATGGATGCTAGCTGATGAGCCTGTAAGATATCAATAATTAAAGACTGTAGATACCCAGCTACTAAACTTTCATTAATGGTTTTCAAAAGGACTACCCAATGCTTACCATAGTCCTAAAAAGTGGCTTAACCTATTTTGATTATCTAGGGGAAAAAAAAAAAACCCAAAACTCTACATTCACTTAAAATACAACATCAATACTTAGGCAAATGTTAACATCTTTGCAGGAGGAATCCAGGAACTTCTAGAAAACTATCACAAGGAATTGGAATCCAGGTCCCCTAGGACTACTTCCCTCCTTCCCAGGAGAAACCTGGGTGCTTCAGAGAATCATCAATCCTGAATGATGAGGAAGTAAGTCAGCCCATTCATTTTGAAAAAGAAAATCTGTGCTAAAAAACTGTCCCCCACTTCTTAAAATACTATCTAAAGGTCTTTGACATTGAGAGAAATGTTAGAATTCCTATGGATGGGAAAAAAGAATAGTTGATTTAAATAAAATTCTTTGAACAATATAAGGTTTTTTCAACAAAAAAAGTTTTATCAACTTTTCAAAAAAAGTGTTTATCTGAACCATCAGTCAGATTAACAAATTAGGCTTAGAAGCTTCTGGAAACTTGATGTGTGCTATCAGAAAGGTCATGTGCCTCTACATTTGAGTAGAATTACTGTGAGGGAATAACACAGGACACAAGAATAAATATAAATCTGGGAGCCTAGCATAAGGAAATAGTCCAAAATACAGGCAAAGTTATTTGTGTGAATTAAAAACAGGAAACAACCTAAAAGTCCAACAATAGAGGAACTAAGTCACGCAAGTATATACATATATACACTTGTGAGTGTATGTGTACACATCCATGTGAGTATATACATATGTAGACTCGCAAGTGTACGTGTACACATCCATGTGAGTGTATACACATGTAGACTCGCAAGTGTACGTGTACACATCCATGTGAGTGTATACACATGTAGACTCGCAAGTGTACGTGTACACATCCATGTGAGTGTATACACATGTAGACTCGTAAGTGTACGTGTACACATCCATGTGAGTGTATACACATGTAGACTCGCAAGTGTACGTGTACACATCCATGTGAGTGTATACATATGTAGACTCGTAAGTGTACGTGTACACATTCATGTGAGTATATACATATATATACACCTATGCAAATATATATACTTCTATATCCTTTGTTTGATAACTATACGTTAAGACCTTTATGCCTCTATATAATGATTATACAAAATGACATGCATAAAAGGCTAGATTTTAAATATTAATACAGGCAGGCACAGATCCCTTGGGCAGTCTAGTCAGATAAGATCCTTCTCAGAATGTTTTAAATGCATAGAATAAAATATACAAGATTACAAAGGAAAAAAGGAATGTTGACTACAGTTATCAAATGTTAAAAAGACAAATCATGCTATAGGGATATATGTTTCTTTATTAACATAGTGAAAAATATATAATGGCAGGTCGTGTAATGCTTGTGAAATAGTGATGAGCATAAATAATTCTTGGAGATAATGGCAGCAACTCTGATATAATATGAAAAACCTGTGATTTCTATTGATGACAAAGACATATACTGCCAATTTTATTCTTGTGTGTTTCTTATATTTATAATCAGAGGAAAGGCTAAATTTTAGCTACAGGTTAGTGAAAATTAAGATGTAATTTTTTTTTTTCCTCAGGAACTCTCTGGAGGCCCAAGTGATTAGGACTCTGCTTCCACTGCAAGGAGCATGGGTTCAATCCCTGGTTGGGGAACTATTAATGAGATCCTGCAAGCTGCGTGGTGTGGCCAAAAAAGAAAAAAGATGTACTTTTTTTTCATCTAACTTCATAGGCCTCCTGAATTCTATCCATAGATTCTATTAGGGTTAAGAATCCCTGTGATATAGGTTGTGTTTGGCTTTGGAACTAAGTGTATTTTATAATAATTCTCTCTTAAGCTTCCTGAAATGTGATTATATTGCATTTGTAATAAAATATATACATAAGGAAGATAGGATTTAGGCTATGTCGATACCCAGATAAATCTTTTACAATGCAGTCCACTCCAGATAACTGAACATGGCCTAAGCTCAAAATTTTTATGGAACACTAGCTCCATGGGTGTTAACAACTGTTACATAAAAAAAATGACAATTACAGTAACCATACAACACAATGGAAGTTTAAAAACAACATCTTACAGAAACTAAAACACATTCCTACTACAGAGTTTCTCAGAGCCTTCATTAAATATGCTAAAGGACATCACGGTTCTTTAAAGATCTCCAGTGCAGCATTTCCCACGCTTATTTAACTGGGAATTTTTTTTTTCCCAGAGTGTCTCATAGGATTAGCGTTCTTTCGAACTTTGGGAAATATGCTCCAGGCACAAGTGAGCCACAGAAGCAAGTCTATCTGTCCTGGATAAGCAAATAACCTCCAAACAGTAAACACACAGGGTGGAGCCAAGTATCATGAACTGCGATGCCAAGAGCTGGGAAGCCCGCCCTCTCTTCCCCCCCCCACCCCGCCCCGGGCAGAAAGTTGAGGGAACCAGGAAGGGGAGAGCTGCCAGTCAAAGTTCTACCACCAGGTATCAGAAAGCAGAGTGTCAAGGCCCCATCAACTTGCAGGTACTTCCCCCAGTGCAGGAAATATGGGATGGGTGACCCAATGACAGTCAAGAACTGACTTTCTCATAATATCCTACTTATTTTAGGACAGAAGAACAGGATCTCAGCCCTTGATAAAAGCAATTCAGATATAGGTCAGAGGGTCAGAGGTAGGGATCAGGTGAACAGACTGGCTCAGATGGGCCCAGGCAGGAGCCATGTTTCACTGGCTTTATTCCTCCAGCCCCTAGCACAGCACCTGGCACTGAGAATAAACTGAGTCTAGCAGGTTGGAGTTCAGAAGACCAAGGGTTCAGAAATCAGGCTGTGAGTCAGTCTATCCTTGCTGAGGGTGAGTTCTTTGAATAGAAAGGACCCAGATGCTGTAAGTTAGGGATGGGTCTGAGCACACTGGAGCTCTAGGCATGCATCACTCAGCCCCCTGTGAACTCAGATCACCAGGTCTGGACCCACAACCTGTCAGGCAACTGAAAAGCCTTGACAATATGACTGTCAGCAGCATGTTAGTAGCTCAGTCATGTCCAACTCTTTGCAACCCCATGGACTATAGCTTGCCAGGCTCTTCTATCCATGGAATTCTCCAGGCAAGAATACTGGAATGGGTAGCCATTCCCTTCTCCAGGGCATCTTCCAAAATCAGGGATTGAACCTGGGTCTCCTGCATTGCAGGCAGGTTCTTTTCCATCTGAGCCACCAGGGAACTCCCTGGAAAATCACGGGGGTCTGGAACTGTGCTTAAAACACTGATATACTATCAAGGGTGAAACAGATCACCAGCCCAGGTTGGATGCATGAGACAAGTGCTCAGGGCTGGTGCACTGGGAAGATCCAGAGGGATGGGGTGGAGAGGGAGGTGGGAGGGGGGATCGGGATGGGGAACACATGTAAATCCATGGCTGATTCATGTCAATGTATGGCAAAAACCACTACAATATTGTAAAGTAATTAGCCTCCAACTAATAAAAATAAATGGAAAAAATAAATAAATAAAAATAAATAAAAAATAAAACACTAATAGTGGGATTACATTGTCCCATTTTTCCGAAAGTAGGAAGAAGTAAGTTGTGGAAGTCAAATGGTAGGAAATGTCAAGGTGATACCTGACAAAGTCTTAGAATGGATTATTTGGTTGTGAGAACACAGAAAATAAAGAGGTGACTAGAAAGAAGTAGAACGAGTTTACTAAGAAAAAATCTCCCATACAGAAACCTGTTTAGACCTTTTGGGTAAGGTAACTCACTTTGTGGGAAATAACAGATAAGCAGCATTTTCCAACTTTCAGGATGGTAAAAATTATTTTTAAGTAAACAGATTACCAGGACTTCCTTATGGCAATTCTGATTTAGTTAGGCAGACTTGGGACCTAAGACTCTGTGTCTTTGAAAGTGCCCCAGTGATTCTTTCTTTCTTTATTTGGCTGCACTGGGTCTTAGCTGCAGCATGCAGCATCTTTAGTTGTGGCATATGGGATCTAGTTTCCTACCAGGGATTGAACTACTCAGTCCTCCTGCATTGGGAGTGCAGAGGCTTAGCAACAAGACCACCGGGGAAGTCCCTGCCCCAGTAGTTCTTATCAATGTATCCTGACTTCTGGACTGCCTTGGATAAGGTCTTTCCTAAAGACCAGAATCAGAATCCTGCCTCTGCCACTATGAGCTGGGAGACTTGGAGAAAGTCCCATAGATGGCTAGACCTCAATTTCTATTCTATAAAGAAAGACATTGAACCAGATTCTGCAGAAATGTGGGCTTCAGTGAACAGAGAACCAGACAGGAGGCATAATCACCTAAACTCCAGGGAGGTCCTGCAAGAAGGGCCACAGGGCTCTCCAATGGGCCATCTGGCTCAAGGGCAATCTGGGCGAAGGCACAGTTTGGAAAACTGCTAATAAATACATTGAATGACTAATGTTAAAACCCACAGCGAACCTTACATGCTGTAATAACATACTCAAACCAAGAAGAGGAAATTCAAGAGCAATAAATGTGAGGCTCCTTTTATGCGGAAGGTTAACATTAATTGTAAACCTGGAAATATGGGGAGACAAGACATAAGTTTAGTCCTGTGAAAACAACTGAACTCTTTGTTTTCCACAAACTCAACATGGGCCTGGTAGGTGTTAAAGAATTTAAATAGCAAGAACAGTCTGGGGTTGTTTTAACTGAGGTATAAAGTTCAGATTAAGAGAGGTGATGCTTACACTGTTCATGAGTTGACAGACCCTAAGCATGGACTTAGTTCTGGAAATCATGTTTTAAGATGGACAAATTCAAACATATCCACAAACGTAAGAATATCAAAATAGTCTTAATGGAAGAGTCATATCCTGTGAGGCACTGTTGACATGACAGGAACGTTTAGCTTGGAGAAGAGAAAAGCTGGTGAGAAGAGACATGCTGGTTTTCAAGATGTGCAGTTAGTCTGTGCAGCTGCAGAGGAAAGTTGTGCCAAAGAGTAGGAGGAACAGGAAGGAAGATTCAGGCTCCACATACAGAAGACTTTTGCAACAACAAGATCTATTCATTAGTGGAATGGACACTGTGTAAGTCACTGCAAATGTGCAAAGAACAAAGGCAGCAGCTACAAGAACATCCAACTATGTCTTGAAGACCATAGAGCAGAGGGCAGCTGGATCTGCTTGGCACTGAGATGTGGGCAGTAGTTTCTGGATAAAGAGAGCAGAGTGTAGGAACAGTGCTGCCAAAGAAAAAGTGCCTTTTATGTGGGGGAGTCAGTTTCTGTGGCAGAATTTGAGGAGGTCAGGTATCAGCATATACATGCTAACATTTTGGTCAAACGGCTTCATAACAAAGCCCGTCTGCATAGGTCTCATGGCTTCTGGAACCCAAGTAAATGCAGCAGCTTTGGGGAGTGCAGATCTGCACAAAGGCAGACCTAGCAGAGGTCTCAAACTGGTGGCACTTAGCGCTGACTTCACCTCCAGACCAGACTTGTTTGGCTGATGCAGTGTTTTAAGAATTTTTAATTAGGGTTGCTCATTCATGAAGCCATGTGCACTCCCTTGCCCTCCTCGCCACTTCCCAGCTGTTATATATCCAGCTGGCTCTTATGTTTATGTTTCCTGGTTGGCCCCTGAAGGTGGCTGCTTTTGCAACTCTTGGCCCAGAGCTGTGCATGATGGTTGAATTGGGCAATGTGTATCTCCAGGGTACACGAAGACTTCTAGGAATATGCAGGTTTGGATCTTTAAAAGAAATCAATCTCCAGACTCAAGATTTTTCATCATGTTTGGGCACTCTTTTTAAAACAGGCTTGCCTGAGAACAAGCTTGTGGTTGGCTAATTTTCCCTTTCCACCTTCTCTTCATGATTGTTCTTCTCACTTTATAAAAAAACAAGCAGAACTCTCACTGATTAAGCAACAATCTTACAGTGATACAGGAGTATCACTTTTTCAGGCAGTATCACCTTTTCAGGCAGTATCACTTTTTCAGGTATCACTTTCAAGTATCACTTGTTTCAGGCAGTAAAAAGAACATTTGAGGATGCAGAGCTCCTGAGAGAGTCTTAAGAAATGAAAGAAGGGGGCATCTTACTTCATCCAGGCAGTAAATACATTCAAGATTTTATGTCTTGTCTATCATCTATCTGTATCTATCTATCTATCTATCTATCTACCTATCTCTCCCTTCTTCCCTTCCTTTCCTCTGTCTGTCTATCCATCTACCTTGGAATTAAACTTTAGAAGTGAGATGTGCATCAGAGGGATGATAATACAATGTTTATGTGAATAAAAAAATAAAGTCAGACCTTTTTTGATCAAATGTAAGTCTGACTGGGCTGATTTATTTGACAAGTACTGTTTTTGTATGTTACATTTGTATATAATTTATGTTATCTATTATATATTTATACAAAATAAATACTATTCTCCTCCTGCTGGGGACTGAGGTTTATGCAGCAACTCTTGGCTGTGGTAAGTTTCAAAAGTGGTGTTTCAGGGCCAACAGTGCCCTCCTAAACAGGGCAAATAGTTTTGGCAGCTGTCGTTCTGTGCAATGAGTAAGTGCAACCTGGCATATGGACTCACTGGTCCTGGACCTGAACTTTTTCACATATCCTCGGGCAGAGGGCCCTCCTATGCAGGCAAGTTGGGGTGCTCTGAGTATAGATGTCATGAGTGAGGCAGATACAGAAGTGCCTTGGGGTCCACATACCACAGTGATACACCGTGCCAACTTCCACAGGGCTAGGACCACAGAGCTGCTGCTACTGGGGGTCTACAGCTGACCTCAGGGGTCACAACCCCATGTTCAAGGGCTCCACAGGGGCAGGGACTCTAAAGGGGACTCCAGTGACCACTGAGGGATTGAGAATTGTGAAGCCCAGGTCCAGAGATAAATGTCGCACACTATTCTGCCCAGAATAAATTAAATAATGAGGTATATGCTATATCAATTTTTCAAAATAAAATTTTAGGTGAGTGGGAAGAGAGTATTTATCAGTCTATTAAAACAAAAGCCAAAACTCAAATATATCACTCAAGGAAAGGGACTCTCCAAAAACTGGTTGCCTGGCTGAAAGTTTAGAATGACATCAATTTCTTTGTTCTGGGCATGCAGCATCCCTGTAACCTCTTTAACAAGAGTGTACCTTTTGCTTTAAGATATCCACTGGTGTCTGATGGGCTTTTAACTTCTTATTTTTGAGAAGCACTTTCCTTCTGAGTTGGTCAGGCGAGGGGAGCATCGGATCATCCGAGAAATCACTCTCAAATAAGAATTTAGCCACCAGTTTTTCTCCAAACACAGTCTAAAACAGTAAAGGAAAATGCATCATCAATGACTTTTGTCTATACTTAAATCATTTGGCTAGGTATTTCAGCCCAATGGCATTCTTCTAAAAATCCCAAGAAGAGGAACTAGGAAAGAAGTTGTATCCATGTGTCCCCACCCCCCTGCATAGTTTCTTAGTGGAAAGAAGGGAGGTAGTGAGAAACCAGGAGGAGGGCTTTAGGGCATCACCGACTCGATAGACATGGGTTTGGGTGGACTTGGGAAGTTGGTGATGGACAGGGAGGCCTGGCATGCTGTGGTTCATGGGGTTGCAAAGAGTCAGACACAACTAAGCTACTGAACTAAACTGAACTGAACCAGAGGGCAGCTCTAACTGTTTAGGAAAACACTCTGGGGTCTGATGTACAAAAGAAGAAAAAGAGATTCAGTCAGAGCTGTGGTTTGTAGAATATGGACTGTTCCAGATGTGGGCAGGAGGTCACAGGCTACAAACCTTGAAGAACGTGGGGAGTTGGGACAAAATGAAAAATAACAGGGAGAATTTGTCACCATTTGGTATAAAGAACCGCAGATGCCATTCTCACAAAGGTTTCCTGAGCACTGGTCTCCAAAGGGACATTTGTGTCCCCCAAGGAGTGGGTGTGGGGAAAAGTACAGGATGACCCCCTGGAGTGAGGGTAGAAAATATGGCAGTTTCTATTTCTAGTTGTCTTTTTTTTTTAAAATGAAAACAGAACAAAAATGGAAGATTATTAGTGCTTAATGTACAGACTGAAACTGGAACCCTCAATGTATGTCAGAGGCTGTTCATAAAGGTCCCTGCAGGGCTGGCAAGGGGTCTCCACTGATGCAGAGGGACCAAAGGTGTGTTCCTCACATCTTTGTTTGGTACCAGCTTATTGAGATGACCACAATTTGGGTGCCATGGTGACCACTGTGGTTAATTTTGAAAAAAGGTTTTTCTTTAAAATATTTTGTAATTAGATGAAAAGTGATTATGAAAATCCTTTACAAACATACAGAAGCTCACACTTTATTCAAGGAAAATGCACTTAGTCAAAGAAAGTAAAGTCGCTCAGTAGTGTCTGACTCTTTGCAACCCCATGGACTGTAGCTGGCCGGGCTCCGTCCATGGAATTTTCCAGGCAAGGGTACTGGAGGGGGTTGTCATTTCCTTCTCCAGGGGATATTCCTGACCCAGGGATCAAACTTGGGTCTGCAGGCAGTCTCTTTACCATCTGAGCCACCAGTGAAGCCCACTTAGTTAGTCAAAGGAGTATTCTAAATTATGCAATTTTCTTTAAAAAAAAGTATCCTAAAATTTCTGACTTTTTCTGTGCTGCACTTTGTTACTAAATGATGATGATTATAAAATCACTATTAGTCTGTTCCTATGTGATAAGTGTAACATTTTAACACTGATTGAGAAAGCAGTTGCTTTTTAGATAAAATTTGTGTTCTGGAAAGAGTAAAGACAACTGTCTAAAGATATTTTTATTGTGATGTGATTTTGTTACAGGAAACAATGTATTTTAACATAAACACTCATGTAGGCACAGTCAAAAAACTTGGAAACAGATTTTCTAATGGTTACAAAATCCTCTAAATGAAGGATTTTAGTGGAGTTTGAACTCATCTGTTAAAAACATAAAAGTGAAAGTGTTAGTCGCTTAGTTGTGTCTGACTTTTTGCAACCCCATGGACTGTAGCCTGCCAGGCTCCTCTGTCCATGACTTCTCCAGGAAAGAATATTGGAGTGGGTCACAATTCCTTTCTCCAGGGGATCTTCCTGACCCAGGGATTGAACTCTCATCTCCTGCATTGCAGGCAGATTCTTTGCTATCTGAGCCACCAGGGAAGCCCCAAAATATAAAAGTATATAAAGGCAAGACATTTACATACAAACTCTCTAGCCAAATTCCAACAAGAACCTTTGCCTCATTAATGGAATTGAGAAATGAGTACTGTGATTTAACAAGTGCAGTTAATGACAACTCTTTTCCATCTAGATATAGGTATCTTTGTAAGGCATCTTTATCAGCTACTATAGCTATTAAAGACAAATACTGAAATAAGAAACTAAACTTAAAACCAGACATGCAAGTCAGCAATCACAAAAGTTTCAAAAATAATGAGGTGTATTCAATCACATTGTTCCCACTAAAAATTTAGATAATAAATAAATAGTCCTAATTTTTTTATGATAGCAAAAGGTTTTTGTATCATTAATAAATAGCATTAAAATGCTATTCTTTACTTTCATCCTTTCTGTTACCCTCTTTTATATTTTATTCTTGCATGTTTTAATTAATATATGAAATATGTTAGTAAGTAGGATATGTATATAATTTATGAATAAGTCAATATATACAATAGGAATACATGCATATTTTACTGAGAGAGGTATGCAATCAAAAAAGTTTGAGGGTTTCTCCGGTGGCTCAGTATGCAATCAAAAAAGTTAGAGGGTTTCTCTGGTGGCTCAGTGGTAAAGAATCCACCTGCAATGTAGATGTGAGTTTGCTTCCTGGGTCAGGAAGACCCCACATTCCTCAGAGAAACTAACCCCATATGCCACAATTATTGAGTCACGCTCTAGAGCCTGGGAGCCGAAATTAGTGAGCCCACAGGCCTTACCTACTGATGCCCTTGCGCCCTAGAGCCTGCGCTCTGCAAAAAGCAAAGCCACCACAATGAGAAGCCCACGCACTGCAACTGGACAGTAGACCCCACTCGCTGTGACTGGAGAAAAACTGGCACACAAAATAAATAAATAACATTATTAAAAACAAAGTTTAGAGACCATCATTCTAAATGATGGCAAAGAAAAGGCAATATGAAAGGCTAATTAGTTTTGTTGGCATTAGTTTTGTATTTGGGAACATTTTCTTCTCTCCATGCCCCTCCCTCCCACTGAGAGCCATATTCCCATAAATGCCTCTACTAGTGGAGGAAGGGGGAAGTATACTGGAGTATTTGCCTTTAAATCTGTTTGTATTATAGTTTCTTTGCATAAGGAAGAGCTGGGTGCTAACAGCAATTGTTGTGGCCAGTCTAACCTCTTTGCCAACATGGATCTCTATATCTGAAGTTGGGCCACAAGAAGATTTGACTTCTTTGCCCTTAAATATTTTCAGCTTTTCTATATATAACCAGCAGATGACACCCTGGCACCCCTGATTTGTGATTCCAAAAGTGTTGGAGAGTTGGTCTTCTTTTACCTCTGAAGGCTTTCTAGAAAGTGCCAGAAGACTACAGAAGAATGCTTCAATCACTAGCTGAAAAGATGAACCACTCAAGAGAGAGCCCCAAGCTCATAGGGGCATCCCCATTTCTCAGGTCTGAGGGATTTAACTATACATGTTTCACAGCTGAGGTCCAGCTGTGGTGTGGTCCATGGTTGCCCCAAATTAAGCTCAATAATAGTCAAACAAGACAAAGACCAAGACACCATCCTGTCACTTAGCTGATACCTTACCTTGAAAATTTCTGCCATTTTTCGTTGCTGAGGCAATGAACAGTGGTTCTCAATCGATATGATGATGGGCAGGTCAGAGTTGATGAAGGCACTGCGATCGATGGCTTCAACCACTTCCTGTGAGGGCCAAAAAGTCTCATCAGAGCTCAGATATCTGTCCAGGGTGTCAAGAAGCAAGGTACTAATAGCCACAGAAGGCATCTAATTTGGTGTATGCAGAAGACTCTGGCCAAAATGGTTTCTATCTTTTTAAATATATTTGCAAGTTGAGCAATACAATAGGTTATTTTCTATAAAGACATTAAACTATTCATATTAAGTATTGTTCACATACTATGAGAAACAGTTATCAGTATCGTCAAATATCAACATATATATATTGAGTATATTATAGGTAAGATACATTGTTTTATTTACAGTATCAAAAATAATGATGCATAAGATACTTTCCTGCTTTCAAGGAGTTTACAATCAAATCTACTTGGGGTAATACGACATATATCACCTATATTTATGTATGCACATAATACAGTTATCAATCCCTCCTTTCCTCAGCATAAGGCAAAAAAAGTTTAAAGAAGACTGAATAGGAAAATGAGTTGAATAGAAAATATACTTTAGCCATTATCTTCACATACAAGACAGAAATAGTAATATTCCTTCTCAGTCCAGTTATAGTTCAGAAAAAAAAAATGATGCCACAGCCAAAGACCCTCAGATTGAGGTTTATAATTGCACAATGAACAAATAAACTACCTAGAAACTGACATCATAATACAATGAGACCAGTCTTCCTGGGTGATGAGTCTCCCGAGGTGGAATCAGTTCTCATTACTTTATAATGCTATTTCATCCTCTCTTGACACATGATGTTGGCCTTTGTCAGCAGAACACCAGGAAAAATGATCTTTAATTCTTACAGCAAGAGAACAACTCCTGCCTTTTATGTATCATTTTATGATACAGAAATTACAATAACATTATTACATGATAACTAATTTAAGGTAATGGTTACTAAACTTTGGCTGAATGGGAATATAAGAAGAGTTTTAGATCAACTCCCCAAAAATGAACATGTGCACATCCCCACAATTTGGAGGTCTTAAGCCCCAGGATAAGAATCCCCCAACCTAAGGTATAACTTGGAAGAGTCACTATTTAAGTGATGAATAAAGATAATGACTCTCTGTGATCTGATCTAAAGAAAGTTATGAAGCATTACCTTGAAGGGGATCTTGGTTGTCAGGGTGTGTCCATGATAAATGATGGGCATTCCATCATCTCCGTCCCAGCAGTCCAACTCTACACTCCTACAGCCTTGCAGGAGGACCTGTGGGATCAATGAGTGAATCCACCCCAGATGAGCAAATGGAGATAAAGCCTCAAATTAAACCCAGCACAGGCTTCCACATATCAGTGTTCACGCTCCAGGCTAAAACAGAAGGGCCTAAGATTGAAAAGAAACATTGCATGTTGGCCAAAGGCCACAATTTATCACAGGTGGGGAAGGGATAGAACAGATTAAGGTGGAAAGAGTGCTGACCAGAGCTAATACTAGTGGAAGGTAAAATTTGATAGCAATAACATGATCATTTTCCCATCAACTTTGGTCCTTCAAGTGACCTACATACTGTATATCCTGAAATGAAAAAGCCAGGCTAGAGCTCTATCTGGGCAGATGTCAGAGGAGATGACACAGGTGCTGATGAGGAAATGAGGACACTGATTCTTTAATGAACTGAAATATTTATATGAATCTAATCAGGATAAAAGTTCCTCTGTGTGTGGTGCTAAGTTGCTTCAGTCGTGTCTGACTCTTTGTGACCCTATGGACTGTTGCCTGTCAGGTTCCTCTGGCTACGGGATTGTCCAGGTAAGAAAGCTGGAGTGGGTTGCCAAGCCCTCCTCCAGGGGATGATCTTCCTCACCCAGGGACTATACCTGTGTCTCATGTCTCCTGAACTGGCAGACAGGTTCCTTACCACTAGTGCCACTTGGGAAGCCCAAAGCTCTTCTATTTAGGCCCAAAACTAATACCTTTGTTGTGAACATGTAGCATGTGAGAAGGGTAGAAGCAAGGAGTTATCAGGAATTTGTTTGCTGTCTAATCCTAGAACAGCATCCACAGCAGAGACGGCAAATAAGTCCATAAACTCCCCTTTTCCGTACCCATAGCAGTCATTAGTAATCAATCATAACACATTTGCCCCCAAAGCTCTGATGCATTGTCTCATGACCTCGTCAGCAAAGAACCCCAGGAAACATTACCAATGAATTAGATGAGATGATACCTATTTGCTTTCCTGAATCTAAAGCTGGAAGCAGAGCTCCAGACCCATGTGTTTGGGTGGCATCTCTGTAATGTTAGCTTGGATCAACTTCTTCTTCCATAGACTATGTGTGGACCATCTTAAAGATGATGATGATATTCAAAAGGGTCAACCAAGCTAAGAGGTGTATGTATCTGTGAATGAGCCAACTCTCTGATTTAAGAATCCACATACCTATTTCCATGTAACAGCAATCCAGTAACTGGGGGCCAGTGGCCACTATAGTTGCTACAACATAACTTAGATAGTTGAATCCCCCTTAATGCTTTTATATGAGATACTTGCTAGATTCTTCCCATTGCACACCATAGAGAACCCAATTTTCCTAGGCAACCTCTCATCCCACAGGGAACTGATTCTGTGGTAAAGAATCCTAAGGCCCTCAGCATTTTTCAGCATCAGAGTATCTAGGGGTGAGTTGCTTTGGGCTGAAACTGTTGTGTAACATGACAGCTGAGATGTGAGGCTCTCTGCCGTGAGCCACACTGGGAAGAACATTCACTGACCGGCAGCAGACCAGATGGGTTTTCAGCATGAAAAGACTAAAGGTCTGTATTCAAGTCCACATAACTTTAAAGGTTCCACATACCACTAGAATAGAACCAGGGCTGGAAATTCCAGGTGAGAACAAGGCTTTCTCTCACTTCTCAACAACCCATAAGTAACGAATGTTAGGAGGTAATTGGAGGAGTTGAAGGACAGCAGAGTGGTAAGAAATGAAATAAAAGGGAGCCTCACATTTAAGGTTTAATCACATTCATGAATCTATTTGAGGAGTTTCTGTGCTTTACTCAAAGGCTTGGGGTGTAATGTTAAGGAGTTTAAAAAGAAAATGTCCCTGAAAAAAAAAATTAAAAAAGAAAACCTCCCTGATGTCAAATAGGTAAGTGTAGTAGGAATTAAAGCTAGGACACCAGTCCCTGCTTATTTTCCTGGAATAAACACACACACACACACACACACACACACACATTTCATTTCTTTCCCTTAGAACAATAGATTTGAAACTTCTTTTAACCTTGGAATTCTCAGTGCAAACAGAGGGTCAATATAGAAAACACATAAAAGAGCAAATCTTCAGCTGCAGGGGAAGCAGGGCATGGGACCCTCCAATGTTAGCTCTTCTGTGTCAGCAGCTGAGGTCCCTTGACAGACACTTATTTTGAAAATCATCACTCTAAGAACACATCTTCATTTCATAATAAAAACTCTTTAAATTTTAGAGTTTAAAAGACATATTCCATACCCAATAAGCTTTGGGACAGAAGTTTAACCCATGCTTTGAGAAATATCTATAGTAATCTGAGGAAAAAAGGAAGCTCAAGTATGCTGTGTTTATGTATACAATACAGTAATAATTTTTACACTTAGACCCCTTCCCCCAACACACAGACATGGACACTCACACACACACACAGGACCTAGCTAGATCCTCCCACAATTAACTGGTCTTGTGGGAGTTCAGAAAACAGGGAGCATAGACAAAGGTGTTGCAGAAAATACAACAGAAACAACAGCCATACAGATAATTGAGAGCTGGATGTTTAGGCGAAAAGGATGTGCTTTTTCTAGTCCAGAGACCCTTCTGAGTTTTCAAGAACATTCCCATCAATTTAAGTGTGTAAGGATAGTACCTACATTTTGTAGATTTTTTTTTTTTTGGTATGTTGGTTGTCATAATGTTGGATTAATTTTCTAAAAAGTTGCAAAACAAAATAAACAATATTCTGGGAATAACTTCATAAACAGTTGCATTTTCTCCTATGCTTTCCCACTACAATATATTGATTTATTTAGCATCTAGGCAAGCGATTAGATAGTTTTCTCATGGGAAAATCTAATTTTAGTAGGAGTAGGTCAAACTAACCAAGATCTAAAAGCTATGAGTCTCAAACTACTACTTATTTATTTATTTATTTTTGCCTAGAATAAAGGTTAAGTATAGATGGGGGGTGGGGGGTGGAATGGAAAGAAAAGAAGCAAAGATAACAGCCGTATATATCGGCAGCTTCCCACACATCATATTTCCTCACATTTCACAATTAACAGCATATAAGCTCATCAAAGGAGCCTGGGGTCAACTTTCTGTGACTGGGGTTTACGTAAATAAGGTTAATGAAAACCACATTCCCAGTGAAATTCTCGGTACCTGGCTGTAGAGTTCTACTGAGGATTCTCCTTTGAGCTGATGGCCCGTGAGGTAGGTGTTGTGTGAAGATTCAATGTAATAGTAGGAGAGGGGCAGCTGCATCTCTTTAACGTTCTCCTGTGACTCATCATTTTTCGAGGCAAAATTATCTTTATCCATTAGAAACCTAGGGGAAACAATTTTCTCAGACTTGTATAGGAAAACTATATACTCTCTTTTCTGAAGTATACTTGACTTAAAATATTAGTTTCAGGTATGCATGCTAAGTTGCTTCAGTTGTGTCCAACTCTGTGCGACCCCATGGACTGTAGCCTGCCAGGCTTGTCTGTCCATGGGATTCTCCAGGCAAGAATACTAGAGTGGGTTGCTGTGCCCTTCTCCAGGGGATATTCCCGACCCAGGGGTTGAACCCGTGTCTCTTACATCTCCTGCATTGGTAGGCGGATTCTTTACCACTAGCACCACCCGGGAAGCCCAGTTTCAGGTATACAACATAGTGATTCAGTATTTTTATAGATTATACTCCATAAAGCTATTATAAAACATTGGCTATATTCCTTGTACTATACATTAATCCTGTATTTATCATATGTATTATTTTTAATGATACATCTTTTAATCCCTTTCCCCTATCTTTTTAAAAAAATTATTTTATTTTTTGGGCTGCACCACACGGCAGAACTAAGGTTTCCCGACCAGGGATTGAACCTGTGCCCCCTGTGTTGGAAATGTAGAGTCTCAACCCCTGGACCACTGGGGAAGTCCCCCTTCCCCTATTTTGTCCCTCTCCCAAGTCCTCTCTCCACTAGTAACAGCTAGTTTGTTCTCTGTATCTATAAGTCTATTTGAAAAATATACATGCTTAAATGATGGGCAAAAATATTTTAAAAGTTACCTTGCAAATCCTTCAAATGACATTAGGCCTTGATGACACATACTAACACTAGGCTCGAACTTCTGCAAGGGATACAAAAGGAGTGTTATTTAGGTAAAGGAAACTAAAGGGGAAAAAAACCACCACATCATTTTTTAAAACTGTTCTGTTTTCATCAGGAAATATCTAAACCAAATATTTGGACTAATTTAGTTATGGAGTGTTAAAATGTAGTTTTTCAGTCCAAAAGAAAACATTTATTATGTGTGAGTTTATTATAGGAAACATATTTATTTGAGAGGGAAAAAAAAAGGGAGAAAAGAATAAAGCTGATTTATATGGAAACAAACAGTATCAGTTTATCCAGGTGAAGACGGGAATCAGAACAGCAGCTACTACAGAGGTGGTGGGAGGTGAAATGTGAAGGTCCACTCAGGACAGTGGTCACACTCCATCATATCTTAGTGCACACTCAGTCATGTGATCATAATCTTACATTTTTAGCATCGCCAGTGATCAAGTCCAGTTGCTGGCCAGCTAATCCACTGATTCCTAATCAATTGACAAGGGAGGCTAAAAGCCTAGACTAATTCTGATGCATGTGGCGCAGCCACAGGGAACCATCTGGCCCCCTCTCTCCTCTCACCCCCTAGAGGAAGCCATGACCACCTCCTCTGGGTTACAGTGACAGCTTCCTTCCCAGTTTCTCTGGTCTTCGCTCCTTCCCTAGCAGAGTTTACACTCCACTGGGGCCAGAGTGACCTCTTAGAAACTTAAATTATCTTCCCCTGCTCAAAAATTTCCAATAGCTTCCCACCTCCCATGGACTCCTTACCATGGCCTAAGATGCTTGGATGGTTTGGTCCCTGCCCACCTGTCGGAAATCAAGTCTGCTACAGTCCCTCTGGCTTTTGTTATTCCTCACAAACTCCAAGCTGGCTTGTTCTTGCTACTCTCTGTCTGGAAAGCTCTCTCCTTAGACCTTCACAAGGCTTAATCATTCAGGACTCAAGCCAGGTGTCACCTCGCTCGAGTGGCCTTGGCCTACTCCTCTCAACCTTCCATTCCCTTACTCTGCTCAGGTTTTTTGCAGAGCCCATTATTATCTGAAATTACATGATATCTTTATTCATTTATAGTTTGCCTCACCCACTAGAATGTAAACTGCTATGAAGGTCTGAACTTGATCTTAAATACTATATTTCCAGGCCCAGAGTAGAAGCTGATAAACATTTGTCAGACAATCAAAATAGCTGATGACCTAACGACCAATTTCATTGCATGTACTGGAACAACAAAAAACAACCAGGTACTGATTCCTTACAGTATCCACTGGGTAAAAGAAGACTTGTTGNTGATAAACATTTGTCAGACAATCAAAATAGCTGATGACCTAACGACCAATTTCATTGCATGTACTGGAACAACAAAAAACAACCAGGTACTGATTCCTTACAGTATCCACTGGGTAAAAGAAGACTTGTTGCTTAGTCACTAAGTTGTATCTGACTATTGCAATGCCATGGAGTGTAGCCCGCCAGGCTCTTCTATCCGTGAGATTTCCCAGGCAAAAAACTGGAGTGGGTTACCATTTCCTTCTCCAGAGAATCTTCCCAAATCAGGGATCAAGTCTGAGTCTCCTGCACTGGCAGGCAGATTCTTTACCACTGAGACACCAGGGAAGCACCAATGGACAGAGGAGCCTGGTGGGCTATATAGTCCATGGGATCAAGAAAGAGTCGGACATGACTTAGCAACTAAACAACAGCAAAAGATAAACATTTAGGACCTATGTTAACTGCATGTTAAATAAGAACACTCACATATTTGGTATTTTTTTAAAAAAAAAAACCTTCTATTTCTCCTCCAGACTTTAAAGCCATTGGAAGGAAATATAAAAAGAGTAAACGTTCAGCAGAAAATAATTAGAATAGTTAGAAGCTTTACACACCTGCTTGCACACAAAAAAGATACAAACCTGGATGATGCTGAGGATTTCATCATAAGTATAGTGTTCTCCTTGGCAATTCACTAGGAAGTCATTGAGCTGGAGGATGCCGACTCCAAACACACCCAGAGATGTGCTCTCCACTCCGGTGCCATTTGTCACAATACTTGCAGCAGCAATGGCATCCGATATCTGCCTCTGGTTGTCAGACAGCTGCTGTTTACTCTTGATGAATAACCCCAAATCTGAGACATTTCTGGTCAACAAATCTGAAACAGAACCATCCAACAGAACATGGACGGGCTAGCCAGCATCTTTCATAAAGCCCATTTTTGGAGATAATGGTGTTGTGGAAATATTAAGCAGTAGTAACTCTTCACTAATCTGTCTAAACAAGCTATCAAGCTCAGTGCTTCTTCCTGGCTTCACATAGTTGAAGGAATAAAAAAACGAATTAGTGAATAAATAAAAGAAATGAAGAGAGATAGGTCAATGATCCTAAAAGCTCATAAACTTCAGTATCAGATGCAAACTCATGTAAATTCAGTTGGAGATTTTAGGCTGAATTCATACTTTGGTTTTTGAGAATACCCACTTCTATGACTGAACACGCATGGAAGACGTACCCTTAAGATTACAGTTTTTTTTGTACTTTAAAAGTGTAACTGTAAACATTTGTGTGCAGGTGCCTGTGTGAACATATGTTTTCAACTCATTTGGGTAAATACCAAGGAGTAGAGTTGCGGGATTATATGGTAAGAGTACATTCTATTTTGTAAGAAAACAGCCAAATTCTCTTCTGAGCTGGCTGCACTGTTTTACACTGCCACGAGCAATGCCCTAGTTGCTCCACATTTGCACCCACTTTGGTATGGCCGGTCATTTTCATTCTAACCACCACGGAGAACAGGGTGGCAGTTTCTTGCAGAGCTAAATACAGGCTCACCATAGGATCCAGCAACTCCATTCCTAGGTGTTTACCCAAGTGAGTTGAAAACTTATGTCCACAAAAAAACCTGCATACCAAATATTTATAGCAGTTTTCAACATAATTGCTAAAACTCAGAAGCAACCAAGATGTCTTTCAACAGGTGAATGGGCAAGCATACACATAACAAAATATTACTCAGCAATATAAAGAAATGGGCTGTCAAACCATGAGAAGACATCAAGAAACCTTAAACACATATTACCCAGTGAAAGGAGCTAGTCTGAAAAGGCTACATACATACTATATGATCCCAACTATATGACATTCTGGGAAAAGCAAAGCTATGGAGACAGGAGAAAGATCAGTATTTGCCAGGGGTTCAGAGGAGAGTGGGAGAATGACAAGACGGAGCATAACAAGTCTTTAGGACAGTGGAACTATTTATGTTGTATGCTATTGTAATGGCAAATACATGGTCATTATACTTCTGTGAAAACCCATAGAAAACACAGACAGTGAACATTAATGTAAATTATGGACTTCAAATATATCAATATTGGCTCAACTGTAACAAATATACCACACTAATGCAAAAAATTACTAAGGGGGGAACTGTATGTACTGGGGGAGAGCATACAGGAACTCTCTGTACTCTTGGCTCATTTTTCTGTAAACTTAACTGTCCTTAAAAAATAGTCCTTTTTTTGTGAAAACTATAACTACTTGACAAATCTACAGTTATGTACATTTATAACTGAATGGTTATAAGGTTGAAAAAGGTTAGTATTCTTAACTTAAGGGCAATATGTTTTTAAATAATTAAAAAAGAAAATGCAGGAAAGAGGACTAAGTTAATTTTGTTTTTTGCTTTTTAGAAAGGTTTATGGTTTCCAGCAAGAACAGAAGAGAAAAACAATAGGCCTAAAATACATGGGTGGTGATGGTAATGGTGGTGGCAATGAATGGGATCAAGGAATTCTGGTTTATGTATTAGGAAGAATGTCCTGAATGTTCAGGCAGGAGTACTTTGCTGAGGTCAGGCAAGACCCTCCTGTCAAAGGGCAGACCGCTCCCAACGCTGGGTGGAGCACCCACCCACCTGGAGGTAGGGAAGAAATGCAGTTCCCAACTGGGACATGCCACAAACTTCGTGGACATTTGGAAATAAGTGGAAAAGGATTTTTAGTTGTCACAGACTGGAAGGCTCTGTTGGTTAAATATATCCTGACTCTAAGGACAGACCCATACAATGATGAATTTCCTAGTCCAAAATGCTAATAATACCACCCCCATGACACTCCCATTAGAGAAATGATTCTCTAAGCATTTCACCATGCTCCTGGAGGTAGTGTGACATGTGGGACAGGCTGAAGGTTTGCATGATGGGTCTCTAACTATTTTTAGGTAGAAAGGTCTCAAAGGGAAATATTAAATTGTCACACAAACCTAGGTCAGGCTGAAGACCGCTGATATTTTCATCAATGGTCAGGTTGGTATAGAGGGGGGCTGCCTCAGAGCCAGCTCGGTCACAGGGTACGGCGTAGATGTCAAAGAGATCCTTTAGGTCCTTGCGGCTCCTCACACTGGGCACAGGATGGAGAACACCTCATCTTTAGCTTCGTTTTAACAAGGGAAGGGTAAGAGGAGGAAAGGCTGAGAAGAAAGCCGCCCATACCTGAATGATTTGAACAGCTCAACAAATTCCACAAAACTCATGCTGCTGTCTGAAACCATGAAGCTCTGAAAGCCCTGCATCCCTCCTTTGATCTTCCCTGGCCAGCAGCTGCTGCTGTTCCAAGCACTGCAACAAAGACACGGCCTTGATGGGCAGAACTGGGACCCGTTCTGTCACTCTGCCCTAAGAAACGTTCTTGGATTAGCAACATGAACAGAAAGATGGACTGCAAGCCACTGAAGTTGAGGCTCTTTTCTTTCTAAGCATTGCTTTAATTATTACATCTTTTCATTTCTCTCCAAATTCATCTATATTGCATCAGAGGAAATAAAACATATATTGAAACCACTTCATGTTTACAGGGCACAAAGCTGAGTTAATATTCCTCTACAAATTCAATATTCAAAACAGGTCTTTGAAATCACAGGTCAATGAGAGGGAAAAAAACCCCATAAATTCAGTGGTTTTGAAGAAAAGTCATTTCAAAAAAGAGCCCCACATTGTGCAATTATAACTTATGGAAAATTATTCATGTGCTTTCATATATTTTAAATCATAGAAACACATTTAAGAAGAAAATCTTTAATGTATTAATGTCTTCCCTTTCTCTTTTCTTTACCAGTTTTTAGATGAAAACAAGGAAGGGTTTTTAATGCTAATGGAAAATGTGAGTCACAAAAATATGAAGGGTGGAAAGAAGCCAACTCTTGCCTAGAATTATATTTGCACCTGCCAAGGCTGTATCTATGTAATATAAAAATATCAGTCATCTGGGTCAAAAATTCAGTCTAGCTCTTTCACAATATTTTTTTATTTCCTATGCTGGTTCCTTGAGAGGAGAGTATGAGAAATGTTTTGGCTGATTTTTGGTCAAATCAATCAGTAGGATCTTTCTTTTTTTTTTCATTTTTGTTTTTGTCTTTAATTTTTCATTTTTAAAATATTTCAAACATATAAGAAAATAGAATATTGTAATGAATAGCTAGCTTGTTCTTGATCCTTTCAACAGTGTTTATTTATGGAAAATTATTTTGTGTTGACATCTGAAGGTCACCTCCATTAATGGAAGAGTTTTACAAATGGATAGATTTATGGCATTATACTTTGTGGGCCTGGATTGTTGATTCCCAAGTACGGTGTGGGAAACAGAGGGTAGATCTTGAAGAAGAGGACAAAGGTCTGATAACAAAGTGGTTTTTCATTTGAATTTAAACATGTATGTTTGATGCCTTCCTTCCTCTGGTTCCCCGACCAGCCACTGTCTATAGGCACCCAACTCCCTCTTACTTTAGGAACCTCTATTCTTCTACTCGGTTCCTTCCTAGGGCTCAATTTTGCTTTCTTCTTGAAGAGTATTCAGGCTGACTTCTCTTCTCCTGCTTGTCTTCTCTTACTGGCCCCTGTCCTCCGATGGCGGGGTCCTCTCATTTTGCATCTGGCATGATAGTCTCTCTATTTATACCTCTTTGAAAACACTTTCCTCGTTTACTTTGTCTTTCCTTTTCCTGCTTATGAGTGATGGAAATAAAGGGAAAGGCCACTTAATTGTACTTATGTGGCTGTTTTATTTTCCCAGGGTACTGTTTCAGTTCAGTTAGTCAGTTCAGTCACTCAGTAGTGTCCAACTCTTTGTGACCCCATGAATTNATGCCATGATCTTAGTTTTCTGAATGCTGAGCTTTAAGCCAACTTTTTCACTCTCCTCCTTCACTTTCATCAAGAGACTGTTTAGGCTGAAATATAATATAATTCTGATTCTTTGTAGCTTTAATTTTGTTACAAACCTACAAACCTTGCAAAGTGGTAAAAAGAATTTCCAGGTATCTGTGACCCAGTTAAGCCAAATGCAGAAATTATGTACATTATTCACACTATGAAAGGATGCTTCCCTTTAAAAGAGGATTTACTGTAGGGTTTTTCTCTATAGCAAGCTTCCAAGAGAGACAGAAAGAGAGAGGTAGAGAGAGACACCCAGAGAGACAGACAGAGACACAGAGACAAAGAAAGAGAAAAAGAGACATGAGGAGGAGGGAGATGCGGGGAGGAAGAGAAGGAGAGAAGAGGGTGGGTGATGCATGTGTGTTAAGTGTGTGTGTATAGAAATGTTTCCAAACCAGTACCTATACAGACCCATATCCTCCTCCAACTTCTCTGACAAAGTAATAGAATGTCTGCTTGTTTTTTTTTATCATGGTTCTGTCTGGAATCTCAACATTTCTTAAACTTTAGTGTGGGGTTGAGAGAGATGGTATGGCATTCTGATTCCTCTGAAAGACTTTCATTTTAATATTTTTTTTAAGAGGGTAGCTGTTGTTCCAAATCTTTAATTGGCATGGACCTTAAAAAATTATTTACAGTAATACCAGCTTTAGGATTATATCTAAACCTCTACAACTGGCTGTAAGACGTTCATTTCTCCAGACACGTACATCTTATACATGAGAAGAGTGTTAAATATATTTCACCCATTAGCAAAGGATCAAGTTGCTTACATGAAAACATTTATTCTTCATTTAGAGCAGTGCTATCCAATAGAACTTTCTGCAATGATAGAAATGTTCTTTATCTGCACTGCTGAGTACATACAGTAGCCACCAGCCAGTGGTAGCTATGCAATACTTTTAATGTGGCTAGTGTGACTGAGGAATTGAATTTGAAATTTTATTTTAATTAAATTTGAATTTAAATAGCCAGTTGACTTTTTTTGTTTGTTTTCTTGTGGCTGCTGTGCTGTGCTAAGTAGTTTCAGTCATGTCTGACTCTTTGCGACCCCATGGACTGCAGCCTGCCAGGCTCCTCTGTCCATGGGATTCTCCAGGCAAGAGTACTGGAGTGGGTTGCTGTACCCTCCGCCAGGGGATATTCTTGACCTAGGGATCCTGTGACTCCCACATTGTAGGCAGATTCTTTATTGCTGCATCACTGGGGAAGTCCTTTCCTGTGGCTAGTGGCTGCTAGACCAGACAATGCAGATTTAGAGACTGACTGCTAAGGTTTTGTTACTGTTACTGGCCTTTGAAGGATTTGTTTGTCAAAAAAAATTAGAAGCCATTATAGTAATGTGAGGGGCTTCTCTGGTGGCACAGATGGTAAAGAATCTGCCAGCAAAGCAGAAGACCTGGGTTCAATCCCTGGGTTGGGAAGACCCCCTGAAGAAGGAAATGGCAACCCACTCCAGTATTCTTGCCTGGAGAATTTCATGGACAGAGGAGTCTCACGGGCTACAGTCTATGGGATCGCAAAGTAGTGTGAATGGTAGTAATGTGAGAAAGTAGGAAAATGCAGTCAAGAAAATTAATAGCTTTTAAAATTTGGGGGTTTTCAGTTTTAAAGTGATTGTTAGAGACCATCTTTCGACAGAGCGCTAAAAGAGGATGCCCTTCTACACAACCCGAATGTTGTAAAGGGTCCTTCTTTTTATCATGTTAAGGCCCCACCTGGTCGGGCTCTTGTTGGAAGCAGGCAGCACAGGGGAGGACACTGGCCTGATGGGAGATGATGTCCCGGCAGCCAAGGTAGGCGGCCCAGTCGTGGTCAAGGAGTGGGCTCTTCTGGAAGGGAGAGGGTTGGGAGGGTTCATGATGGCATTTGCCTCTGCGAGAGTGGAAGACAGAAAAAAGACAGTGACTCTAATTAAACTTTCCCTCACAAATCAGATAGAAAAGATGTTTCTGAATGTCTAAGGAAATCAATATATACAGGCAATTACTGTATAAGAAGCATTAAAATATTCTGGTGAGTTCTCAATCCTGGCTACACATCAGAATCATCTGGGGAACTTAAATAGTGCATAGATATCCTGGACTCACACAGTCTGAATCGGTTGGGCTGGGGTGTGGCTAGAGCATGCAGAGAGTCTTTAAAAAGCTCTAATATCCAGCCAGGAGGTAAGAATCACTGGTCTAAAAATCCAGTGATTTGATTGTATCTTTCAAATCTAATATTCCTTGTCAATAATGGCAAGTTAACTAGTTAGTATTTTCTTCTAAGTACAGCTTACGTCTGCAAACTTGTGTTTGCAGAAATACCTCTTAGGTTCCATCATCCAGTTAAAAACAAAGGTAAGTATATTTAATAAGATAAAGAGTTTACTTAAGAAGGCCTGTGTTGAGATATAAGTGTATATCTCAATTTAAAACCAAATGCACGTTTTCCCATTTAAAAATCCTCAGATATGAAGATGCTGCTTTTTACCTGATTCTTCTTGTTCATTGACATCTTGAGGATCAGAACCACTCCGACTCCGACTCTCTTTGTGTGTTTTGGCCTTGCGGGTGGCCATCTCATCATCCGTCACCTCTCCACTCTCACCCTGGGAACAGAAAACTCATCATATTTATCCTTCCCATCTCTGCTTAGCTCAGGTGGGTCCCTATTTTTTTCACTGATCCACCATCAGTACCACCTCCCCTGGTGAAACCAGTAAAGACCTATGTGAAGGCTGACCAAGTGCTCCCTTGTTCTGTTTATCCCACGTGTTCTTATGATAATGCAGTACTCCTTGGGGGAAAGGGTGACAAGAGAAGGCATAAGATCCCTGGAATCTGTGCAGAGACAAAATTATGAAGCAGATAAAGTTCAACCTAGGCATCAACAGCCTCCCAAGTGCAGAGAGTGGAACTTCTTCCATTTAACCATGAAGAAAATGTATCACACTATAGTGACAATATAAATAATGTAATATATAATATAGAGTGATACATATATATATATCTATCATGCTAAAAAACAAAACACAGAATTTACCATCTTAACCATTTTTAATGCTTCCCTTGTGGCTCAGATGGTAAAGAAGCTGCCTGCAATGTGGGAGACCTGGGTTCAATCCCTCGGTCGGGAAGATCCCCTGGAGAAGGAACTGGCAACCCACTCCAGTATTCTTGCCTGGAGAATCCCATGGACAGAAGAGTCTGGCAGGCTACAGTCCATGGGGATGCAAAGAGTCAGACACAACTGAGCAACTAACACACACACGACCATTTTTAAGTGTACCATAGAGAAAATGGTGCTAACTATTTGTATTTTGTTGTGCAAGGTATTTCTAGAACTTTTTCACTTTTGCAAAACTGATACTCTATACTCATTAAACAACTCCCCCTTTCCCCTTCACCTTAGTCCCTGCAACCACCATTCTATTTTCTGTTTCTAAGAGTTGGACCACTCTAGGTATCTCATACCTGTAACTGGAATCATGCAGTATTTGTCCTTTTGTGACTGACTTATTTCACTTAGGATAAAGTCCTTAAGGTCATCTGCATTGCAGCACATGACAGGATTTCCCTCTTTTTATCCCCATTGTATGTACATGTTACCTTTTCTTTATCCTTCTTTGGTGGATGGACACTTGATTCTCTTGTTAATATATTTTAAATTGAGTTCTAGCCTTTTGACCCTCCAAAACCTTCCTAATATGATCCTTGTTCCTTACTATCCTTTCTTTGCCCACCACAGAGCCCATGCTCCAACTTGAAGCCTGAATCCAGGGCCCCCGTGCCAGAGAGGCGGTCCCCTGCATTGTCTGCCTGGTGAATCCTATCTGTCCTTTAAGACCCACCTCTCACCTTCTCTGTGGAGCCATCCCTGCCTGACTCCCAGTCTTCTATTTTCCTTCTCTCTACCCCACAGCACTCTGCAGACCACGTGACAGGGACTCTTACTTAGATCTCACTGTGTTTGTTAGCATCTCTGTGTCCTTCTATGGACCCTGACTTTTTGCTGGTGGTGACTCAGTTCCTAGTACTGGGCTTGGCATCCAGTGGGCACTTGGTAAGCTCTTGTATTTTATATGTTTTACATCTCACCCTGTCCCCAATCCAAATGACCTAAAATAGTTTATGGTTATGTAGATTATATAGTGGTCCCAGATGATTGGGTTGGATGCTTAATAAATAAGTAACACTCTACCCTCATAAGGATTTTCTTCTTTTTCTTGGCGTTGCTTATACTTAAGGTGTTGGGCTTCTCGGCGCTCTTTGCTGATGTCCCAGGGCTGGGGTTTCGAGTACTCCATCGTCTGCCACCAAACAGCTCCACAGCTTGAGCCAAAGTTGGGCCTTCATATCGTCCATCCTCCTGTAAAAGAGACACATTCTGAACCCATAAGGGAAGAATGAGTAAAGGGGGAGTAAACGTATCAAAGGCCTTCTGGAAATTCCCAGAAGCAGAGGAGCACAGGCTGTCACCAAAAATAATGATCTGGCCAACCAAGCGTCTCTAACTGCCTGGACTTTCTGTTGGTGATTTCATCAAGTCCTATGTGGTCCTGGTCAAATCCAGCTGAGTTCCAGTGCTGTGCTTTAATACAGCCACGTTCAATTGGGATTAACAAAAAAATTTCCCTTTCCACTTTCAGAAGTTATGTTTCAGCATCATCACTGCAGGCAAATTCATTCAGATGTACTTTGTAAATCTGGGCTTTGAAGGACTTGGAGGGTGTATATGTGTGTATGACTCTATTGAAGTAAAATCAAGTTCTATTTGTTATTTCATCACTCTAGCTATATTTTCACCTAGCTTGATGCTTGGGACAGTCTGACTTGAAGTCAGAGTAGGTGGAGTACATGAAATTCATTTTGAAGGGCTCTGGGGGCACCTCAAGTAGTTGAGCTGCCTTCTCCTTCAGTGACTGATATCCAAAGACAGAGAGCCCAGGGGACTCAGAATACCATGCATATTATGATGCCTTGAGCAGTGAAAACATCCTCAGTGGGTACATGATGGTTTACAATAGCTGCTTCTTGTAAGGCAGCTCTATGTAACATGCATTGAGTATCAGAAGGGATGGAGTAATTAAACAGTGTTCAACAATTCTTCTTGTAAGTCAGGAAAGTTAATAAAACTACAAAAAGTCACATGTGAATTAAAGACAATATTGATATTTCACAAGTCATAGAAAAAGCACCTTTTCAATCTATTTCTATTTACTATCTTTACTTTCTACAAGCTTTTAAGGGGAGTCCTCCTTTGCAAATGCAAAGACGTGCTTATAAATAGATTTTGGCTTTGTTGTAGATAATATGCAAATAATAAAGCGACTTTGTGCGCAAACGTGTGCGCATGTGTATGTGTGTGTTTGTGCCTTCATGTCTGTGCTTGTTCCTAATGTTCAATGACTATCTGATTTGATGACTTGAGTTGTGACCTCCTACTTCCTGAATCCCATTACGGATCCCAGGATGCTTAGTGAATTGGATACTTGGTGATCTTTTGAATGATATGTGATGAAACATTTTGGTGACCTTCTGTCCTGAATATCTGTGATTTATGCCTGTCTGTGGGTCATTTTTCTTTTCTTTAACCATACCCAAGTTTACTTTATCTCTTGTCACTGGATACAGTCTTGGGTCTATCAGTCAATGGGCAACATCCTCCCTTGACCAATGGTTGGTATAGGACCCAAATAAGCCAATCAAACTCACCATCCCTGACATGTACTCACTACTATATTTAAAATGAATAATGATCAACAAGGTCCTACAGTACAGCTCAATGTTATGAGGCAGCCTGAATGGGAGGGGAATTTGGGGGAGGATGGATATATGTATACGTATGACTGAGTCCCTTTGCTGTTCACCGGAAACTGTCACAATATTGGTTGCTAATTGGCTATATCCCAATACAAAATAAAAAGTTAAAAAAACCTCCACCCCCAGAAAATGAATCTTGAATGGAGTGATGCAAAGAATGAAAATGGCTGGAGATGATTCCACCTGGTGCAGATCTGCTGGAGAGAGTTCCTGCTAACAAGTCACCAAACTGACTGCAAAGTGACACAATTTCATAAGCTGATTTTTAACTACCTTATTGCATAACATACTCTGATTACAAAAAAATTCTGTAAAATTTTATCTATGGGTTTTAACTAATACATCTTTAAACATTAAACCTGATGCTTAAACAGAGTAGACCACTTCATTAAAATTTAAAAGCTCTTCTCTGCAAAAGACATGGTCAAGAAAGTTAGAAGACAAGCCACAGGCTGGGAGAAAATATTTGAGAAGAAACGTCTGATAAAGGTCTGTTATCCAAAATGTACAAAAAAAATTTAAAACTCAACAATAAGAAAACAAATGACTCAATCAAAAAATAGGTCAAAGAATTTGATAGACACCTCAGCGAAGTATATATGCAGATGGAAAATAAGCATATGAAAAGATGTTCCACGTCATATGTCATCAGAGAAATGTGAAATAAGACGAGGTACAACTGCACACCTATTAGAATGGCCAAAATTGAGAACACTGACAACACCAAATACTGGTGAGGATGCAGAGCAATAGGGATTCTCATTTGCTGCTGGTGTGAATGAAAAATGTTACAGCCACATTAGAAGGCAGTTTCTTACAAAACTAAACACACTTTTACTGCATGATTCAGCAATCACACTCCTTGACATTTACTCAAATGAGTTGGAAACTTGTGTCTATAACAAAACCTGAACATGGATACTTACACTTGCTTCATTCATAATTGCCAAAACTTAGAAGCAACCAAGAAATCTTTTAGTAGGTGAATGAATGAATAAACTGTGGTTCACTAAGACAATCAAATTTCACTCAGTAATAAAAAGAAATGAACTATCGAGCCACAAGCAGACATGGGGGAAAACTTAAATGCATATGACTAAGTGAAAGAAACCGATCTGAGAAGGCTACATATTCTGATTCCAATAACATCTGGAAAAGGCAAAACTATGGAGACAATAAAAAGATCAGTGGTTGCAGGGGCTAGGAGAGAGTGGGATAGAGTGGGAGCAAGATGAACAGGCAGAGCACACAGGATATTTAGGGCAGCAAAAATGCTCCATATGGTATTGTAGTGAGGGATATATGTCAGTATATTATATTTGTACAAGCCCATAGAACGTACAGCACCAAGAGTGAACTCTAAGGTAAACTATGGACTTTGGGAAATTACAACATGTTAACGTAGGTTCATCCTTTGTAAAAGGATGTCTAGTCAAAGCTATGGTTTTTCCAGTAGTCATGTATGGATGTGCGAGTTGGACAATAAAGAAAGCTGAGCACCAAAGAATTGATGCTTCTGAACTGTGGTGTTGGAGAAGACTCTTGAGAGTCCCTTGGACTGCAAGGAGATCCAACTAGTCAATCCTAAAGGAAATCAGTCTGGAGCATTCATTGGAAGGACTGATGCTGAAGCTTTGGCCACCTGATGCGAAGAACTGACTCCTTGGAAAAGACCCTGATGCTGGGAAAGATTGAAAGTGGGAGGAGAAAGGGACGACAGAGGATGAGATAGTTAGATGGCATCACTGACTCAATGGATATGAGTTTGACTAAGCTCTGGGAGTTAGTGATGGACAGGGTGGCCTGCCATGCTGCAGTCCATGGGGTCGCAAAGAGTCAGATACAACTGAGTGACTGAACTGAACTGAACTGATCCTTTGTAAAAAATGTACCATTCTTGTTAGTGATGTTGATAATGGGGGAGCTATGTATGTGTGGGGACAGGAGGTTTATGGGAAATCTGTGTACTTTCCTTTCAATTTTATAATAAACCTAAAAATGCTCTAAAAAATAAAATCTTTAATAAAATTTAATAGACCCATTACCATGTACATATAAAAGAATCAGCCTCTACTGCTTTGGTTTTCCTAAATTCAGAACATCCTAACATGGGCCAAGCTTTACTATTAATGGAAATATTTTAGGCCTGTAAAAGGCAGGATGCCTTTGTTTAATCTTTAAAGGAGACTTTCTGGGAACTAAAATGTACTTTGAATCTTCCTTTTGTTTTACACAAAACAATAAACTTGTTTGGGATGGATGAAAGATGTACCTTCTATTTTAAATTTGGGCTATAGCAAGTGAAGGTACATTCTCAGTTTTAGAAAATGGTTCATGTGAACACTGAGAATTAGGAAATTGACTCCTTAAAAAATATGCATGTTTTGGGACTTCCCTGGTGGTCCATTGGTTGAGACTCCACACTCCCATTGCGGGGGGCCTGGGTTCAGTCCCTGGTCAGTGAACTAGATCCCACATGCTGTAACTAAGAGTTTGCATGCCACAATGAAAAGATCCTGCATCTCAAGACTAAGGATCCAGCATGCAGCAACAAAGATCTAAGATCCTGAGTGCCACAACTAAGACCCATGGAGCTAACTAAATACATATTTTTTTAAAAATTCATGTACTTTTAACTTGGCATATCTTTGCATATGATACCTTAAAGACTCTTAAAACAATCTAACTCTTTAAATAGATGCCCCACTTTTTTCCTTGGAGATAGCCAGAATCTGTTTCTGTTGCTTACAAAGAAGTTTCCTGATAATCCTGTGTATAACCTCCTTAGCTTCCCAGAGATCTTTCCAAATATGAGTTCTTAAGCTCTGCCCATAACTTTGAGCCAAAGCTCATGATACCAACCTTTCTTCCACATCCCATATCAAATTTCTGCAGTTTGCTTTTTAAAAATTTCTTGTATTCCTAGGCTTTGTTACAAATATCACTATTGGGAATTCCCTGGTGGTCTAGGGGTTAAGAATCTGTCTTTCAATGCAGAGGACTCGGGTTCAAGCCCTGGCCAGGAAACTAAGATCCCACATGCCTTGGGGGAACGAAGTCCATGCCACAACTACTGAGCTCACGGGCTCTAGAGCTTGTGCTTGGAAACAAGAGAAGCCCATGCACTGCAACAAAGATTCAGAGGAGAGCCCTCCCAAAAACCAACCAAACAAAAACAGAAGTCACTATTTTTTCTTGTCTTTTGCTTTATTTCTTACTACTGTTTTCATTAGCTTAGTTTATATTCACTAGCGCTAAAATACTTGTATTTGAAAGTAACACTGCAAATATTTATCACAGAAGAGGACTCGGATGTTAGGAAGATTATTTTCTATATAAGCTCTTCCTAAACTGGGGATAAAGAAATATTCTCATATGGCTGTTAGTGGAAGTTTGGAAGAAATCAAGATCTTCCATATGTTTCTTTAGTTTGTAGATATGTTTAAAAATTTCTTTTGTACTTTGGGACTTCTCAGAGTTTTAAGTGTGCTAAGCTGTATTATAAATCACCAAGGGGGCATTTAGAATGATACCTATTTGACCTTTTGTTCTCCAAGCGCCAAATTAGCATCTTTTTAATATTCCCTGAAACAATTTGGGAACTGGTCTATATGATGGAAAAATGAGTAGTCTGTTGACCTTTCTCACTTAAAAAAAAGAAAGAAAAGAAAGAAATCTTGAGTGTCTAAGACTGTTGTCTGTCTTAGGCAGCTTGTGTAGTACATTGTTTTGAGGATGAATGCCATCCATGTTTTCAGAAGTGACTGAGGTATATGGAGGCTTTTTGCCCTTACACTGTGACAGCTTGGTTCCTCACAGGGGTGGAAGGATGGGGTTGGAGAGAAAGGGAGGGATATAGCTGTGGTTATAACTTAAGACCAAGTCAGCTCCATGTCACTTCCTCTGTCTCAGCTCCAGCGGCACCTTTTCTCACCCATTGTCTGTGGTCTCATCTGGTGACCCCTCAGCATAAACTGAAGGTTGCCAGCGTAAATGAGAAACTTCGCGCTGTGTGTTGGTTGCTCAGTTGTATCCGACTCTTTGCGACCCCATGGACTATAGCCCCCTAGGCTCCTATACTGGAGTGGGTAGCCATGCCCTTCTCCAGTGGATCTTCCTGACCCAGGGATCAAACTCGGGTCTCCTGCATTGCAGGCAGATTCTTTACCATCTGAGCCACAGTACAGTACTGTGAACTTAGTAATGAGAAACTAAGTAGACTTTACATGTTAATTCAGTTACTTTGTAAGATTGGGAAGGAAATATATGGAGCAAATAAACCACATAGGTTTTGTGACAGTGACTGTAATTGAGCCCAAAGACTTTGGTTCATGACCAGACTGAATGCATTTTCATGACTGTAGAAGGCTGAGGAATGACTGTAATTGAAAACCAATACTCCTAATAGCTCCTGGAGACCTTCCTTCCAAGCAGCCAGCACCACTGAGAGCTCCCTGTGCAGTAGACAGGAAGCAAGCATTTTGGTTCCCATTTTATTTCAAAAAATATTTACTTATTTGGCTGTGCCGGGTCTTAGTTGCATCATGTGGGATCTTTAGCTGTGGAATGTGGGATCTAGTTCTGTGACCAGGGATAGAACCTGGGCCCCCTGTATTGGGAGCAAGGCGTCTTAGCCACTGGACCACCAGAGAGGTCCCTCGATTTCCATTTTAGATGAGTTAACTAAAACTGGCTTTGTGCAGTGCAGCATAATCATGTATATAGGCCTAAGTGCTTATTAATTAATTGAGTTCTTCAGGATATGATCTCTACTCATTAAGTGCTGTATGGATGTGGGGAAAGGGGAAAGAAGGGGTTTTATACATGTGACTCTACTAACATTCCAGAGCAGAACATGTTTTAAATTGTCAGAAACATGTTAGAACTATGAAAAGTACACGAAAATCAATCCTTTGAGTAATTTAAGTCACAGTGGTATTTGTTCTGTGACACTACAAAAGATAATTCGTCCCCCATAAGATAGAAAAGGGTTTCCCTTGTGGCTCAGCTAGTAAAGAATCTGCCTGCAATGTGGGAGACTTAGGTTCAATCCCTGGGCTGGGAAGATCCCCTGGAGAAGAGAAAGGCTACCCACTCCAGTATTCTGGCCTGGAGAATTCCATGGACTGTATAGTCCATGGGTCTACTTTCACTCACTCAAGACACAAAAACATAGCAAAGAAAAACTGAATACTCTATACAACTCATTTGACAATCCCACCAATAGTGTCACCTTGTAGTGGGGTTTATGGCTCAATTTCCAAGCAGTCTCTGCCCTCCTTCCTCCATAAGCATGTGGCTCTAGTTACACCTGTGTCTCTTCTCACCATCTCATCCAACCCAGTGCTGGTGGACCTTTGGCTGGAGGGTCAAAGTATCTTATGCGTGTGTGTGTGCTCAGTTGCTCAGCCATGTCTGACTTTTTGTGACCCCATGGAATTGTATAGCATGCCAGCTTCCTTTGTCCATGAAATTTTCCAGGCAAATACTGGAATGGGTTGCCACTTCCTTCTCCGGGGATCTTCCCAACCCAGGGATCCTGATACTTTAGGGTTAACAAAAAAATCACTCAGTTTAAGCTGCCTCCTAAGGGCTGTTGCCACTACAAATGAGGTTTGGAAGAACTCTAGTTATGACTATCTCACATTTGGGAATGTTTCTTTTAATCTTACAAGTTCTACAGTTTGGCAGCAATACACAGTAAATTAAATAACTCTCTGAGAGTCATGGAGCACATTAGAAGATGAAATAGGATTTCGGTTTCCAAAGTAAAGATTTCCAACACATCAGCTAGTCCCTAATTAGTATAAAAGCATTCAGATTACAATGCTTTCCATTTTCACTTTAAGTGAAAATGCTTATATTAACTTGTTTCTTTCCAGATGTGAGAAGTCACTATTTTCATACAAAATAATAATAGGACCTACTTTGAGCCAGACACTATACATATGAATTTACATTATGGCTTTACACATATTAACTCAGTTAAGCCTCATGGTCACCCTTTGGACAATATGAATAATATCATTATTTTTCTCACTTTATAGATAAGAAACTAAGGCACAGAGAGGTTAAGTAAAAGCTGTTCAACATCACTCAGGCAGAAAGTTGACAAGGCTGGCAAAATGAACCTTGGTGGTCTAGTTGTCCAGTGTGTTTTTACAAGATAAGTCTGGAGAATTATACTACCGAGGAAACAGGGAAGGCTGCATCCCTTTCCCCTTACCTGGTAGAGGCTGACGTACTGTTTCCGCAGCCACTGCTGTCTTTGGTCAGGGAACTTCCTCATCTTCCTCACAGCTCTAGTGAGCTCCAACAATCCACTGAAGAGCATTTTAGCTGTGTGCTTTGGTGCCACAAAGTGCAATAATCTATTGTCCGTGGTCTGCAGCCCATAGAGCAGTGTCACACCAGTCTCTGAGAGAGACATGTTACTCAGTTTGTTCTGAACACACACAGTGTGTATATCAATGTTAGGGTGTCCCATGTACACAGCCTTTGCTGCAAACAGATCCAAGATCCCCTCCACCAGGCCACTTAATCCAGCATTGCCCAGTAACGGGAATTTGCCAGGCTCAGACGTGTAACTGAGCACACCAAGTTTTGCTTTAGCACTGGCTGGGGAAGCAGTGGTGGGTTTTATCCAGGTCAAGGTGCTATTGTCAGGCTGAAGCTGGAGGAAGCAGCGGGCAGAGAGGTGCGTGTCCTGATCATAGTGGATGACTGTGGCCCCCTGCAACAGGAACTGGTGCACATCAGCTTGGATGGACAGCACGTACCATGGGATGAGCTCTGTCCCATGGTCAAAGGCTTTCTGTGGCTCTTCCGATCCATGAGAGTCCCATTCTTTGGGCTGCTCAAAGATGTCATTTTCGGAATCCAACAAATCTCCAATTATAAACCTGATAGAAAGAATTACAAATTTGATCTGTCATAATCAGAAGTAAGGACAACAAAAATCTTTCACTGACACTGGCATCATTTTTCATTCCATTATAAATTCAAATTAGCATAGGAAATATAAAATGCTACAAGTTGGAGTGATTTTGTATAGCGGTCTTCTAAAACCTTATATTTAACAACATATCTGACCATAGGCTTTGAGGCCCCATGGACTGTAGCCTGCCAGGCTCCTCTGTCCATGGAATTTTCCAAGCAAGAGTACTGGAGCAGGTTGAATAAAGGAACTACTATATTCTTGTATTTTTAATGTAAACAACAATTTTCATTATTTATTAGTCTTTCCTCTTGTGTTAAATACATCCATTTTTGCAATTAATATGACCTACTTGCAAAGTTAAGTTTTATTATTATTTTTAAAATTTTTTTAAACTGGAGGATAATTGTTTTATAATATTGTGTTGGCTCCTGCAATATATCAACATGAATCAGCCACAAGTATACATATTTTTTTAATCTATGGGGGAACTGAGGTTCAGGAGGGGTGAGTAACTGGCTCCAGGTTACCCAGCTCAGAAGAAACCTACCCAAGGCAGGAATTTGGTCTGCCTGACTCTCTTTCTTCTATTTGGCTACTTTGGTAGGAATGTGCTTAAGAAAGACTCATTCTCTTCAAAGCCTGAGAAACTGTTACTAAGGTCAAGGCTTTTCACTGCTTGATCCACAGAAATCACTAGCAAAGGGGTGGGTAAAATTGAGGAATTGGTCCATACATCCCTGGGAAGGGATATTCCCATCACCTCGAGACACTTGGGCAGCTGACAGCCTCTTGGCAAGGTCTGAGAAGCGGCCTTGGGCTTCTCAGACTCTCGGTCTAGATCCTGGTCCCTGAGCAAGATTCCACTCCTGCTTTCAAACAGGAAAATGTTCTTCTTTCATGCCTCACATAAACAGATATTCTTAAGAAAGAAAAGAAATCCACAAGAAATCTCACAAATATGATGATCAGAAGATCCTTTTCAAATAATCCACACTGGAAACACTGGAAACCACCCAAACGTCCAGCAACAATCAAATATATAAATAAAATTTGATGTATTCATATAATACCAGCCTGCACAGCCACGAAAGTAAACATGCAATGGTTAGCCACCTGCAACAACACAGACAAATCTTAAGCAGGACATACAGACATAGATGTTGTGTGATTACATTAATGTAAATTTCAAAAAAGGAAAAATAATACTATATTGTTTAGAGAGGCATAAAGTGGTAAAATTATAAAGAAAAACAGAATGTATTATCACAAAATTCACAGCAGTGAATTTTTCTTTACAGGGAAAGGTAGTGACATAACAGACAAGAAAAAAGGGGTTTACGGGTACTGATAATGGATGGTAGCTACACATACACTCACTTGAAACTATTCAAAAACATTAGTTTAAAAAAATTCTTCAGAGTAGTTTTCGATTAGGAGAGAAAATGCAAAGATAGCATACCCCATATATCGTTTTTCCTATTATATTAACATCTTACATTAGGGTGGTATATTTGACACAATTCATGAACCAATACCACAAAACACTACTATGTATTAAAGCCCATACTTTGCTTAGTATTAGTATTGGTCTTATACTTTGTTTAGTATTTGTATTAGTCTTTGTGGTGTGATCGGTGGCATTATCACCTTTGCCTGTTAACTGGAAGATTGGTGGTTCAAGCCCACCCAAGGCTGCCCTTCTCTGTGTTCCTCAGACAGTAAAGAAGCCACCTGCAATGGGGGAGACCTGAGTCGGAACCCTGGGTTGGGAATATCCCCTGGAGGAGGGCATGGCCACCCACTCCAGTATTCTTGCCTAGAGAATCCCCAAGGACAGAGAAGCCTGGTGGGCTGCAGTCCACGGGGTTGCGAAGAGTCGGACATGACTGAGTGACTTAACACAGTGCAGCACATACTTTGTTTAGATTTCTTTAGTTTTTTACCCATTTCCCTTTTCTCTTGCAGGATTCCATCCAGGAGCCCATATTATATTTAACCTTCATATTTCTTTATGTCATGGTTTCTCAGACTTTTCTTGATTTTATGATTTTGACAGTTTTGAGGAACAGTGGTCAGGCATTTTGTAGAATGACCAACAATTAGAATTTGCCTGATAATTTTCTCATAATTATTCTGGTGCTCTGGGTTCTGGGGAGGAAGACCACAGATGCAAAGTGCCATTCTTGTCACATCATATCCAGGGAACATATTATCAACAGGGCTTATGCTATTGATGCTGACCTGGCTGAGGCAGTGCTAGTCAGTGTCCACTTTACAGTGTCCACTTAAAGTTACTTAAAAAAAAAAACCTCCTTTCTACATTGTCCCCTTTGGAAGGAAGTCACTGTGTGCAGCCCACACATAAGGAAAGGTGAGTCTGCTCTACCTTCTAGAGGTCAGAGTATCCACACAAGTTATTTGGAATTATGCGTGAGAAATTTGTCTCTTCTCCCCGAAGTGTTTGCTTAGTTATCACTTACATACATGGACTTGTGAATATTTATGTAATACTTTCGGTTATAATCAAAGCTTCTCTGGTAGTTCAGATGGTAAAGAATCTGCCTTCATTGCAGGAGACTTGGGTTTGATCCATGAGTTGGGAAGATTCCCTGGAGAAAAGAATGGCTACCCACTCCAGTATTCTTGCCTGGAGAATTCCATGGACAGGGGAAACTGGCAGGCTACAGTCCATGGGGTTGCAGAGTCGGACACGACTGAGTGATTTTCACTTACTTACTTGGGTTACAATCTAATACTATTTTATTTTGTTACTCAAATTGCTCCAGCTTTGGCCAACAGAATATAACTTTCCGTTGGCTCTTGTGCATCTTTGATATAACCTCATTATTGTTTTAGTTTTTTTTCCTCAGCACTTATTTACTTTTTCTGGCACAAGATACTCCAGGCTCATCTTGAATATTTCCTGCCCCAGTCCTAGAAGCAGTCATCTCTCCAAGGAGCTTTGCTTTCTTTTACTGAAGGCTTATTAGAAATTAAGATCTGAGTTCTAGGTGCAAATCCATTCTTTTTAATGCACTTTTCTTAATGTTACATCTCAAGATAAAAAGTGAAGAAAGAATGAGAAAGGAAGAAAATCTTTTGTATTTAAATTATCACAGTCTCTCTGAAATTTCTCTCAGTAACAATGGGAAACCAATACTCAGCTTCTCTTACATAATACTTCTGTCCATTCTACACATATATGTAGCAAGGTGGTTAGGGGCACAGCCTCTCTTCACTTTGGGTTTAATGTTAGACTCTACTACCTCTTCACTGTGTGATCTAGTCAAATCACTCAACCTCTCTGACCCTCACTTTACTCATCTGCTAATGGCAAAAAGACAATACCCACTTTCAGAGAGTAGTGGTGAAGCTCAAATAAGATAATACTGGTAAGTGATTCAGCACAGACTCTGGCTCAGTAAAGTACATGACTATAATTAAACATAAAAAAGATCAAGGTTTTATCCTGCCTCTTCTCCTTCCCACTTCCTTTTCTCTAGGCTAAATCAGTCCAGCTGTTCCTCTAGAGGGGCTTTCCTCAGGGCCACATCCAAGTTCTTTAATCTTTTTATTTCCTTTCTCTGGGACCATTTCCATGTTCTCCCTGTCACACTGCTTGCTGGTGGGTTTTTTTTTTCCCCCTAAGAGCAAAATGGATTCAATTGGAGAGTATCAATACCCATGAAATGTAACATATGTTAATTTGGACATAGAACTTCTGGTTTTAATTTAGCAGGAGAAATGGTGTTTTCCATATTCCATTTAATTTGAGTTCTGAGCTAAATCAAATATTTTCCAGTAAAAAACTATAGGCATTGTGAAAAGTCGTATCTGGAAAAGAAAAATTATGAGGCTTTTCTGGAGCCTGTTTCAACTGCTCAGCTATGATGTAAACCGGGAGAGAATGGACACTATCTTTCTTAGCACCAGTTTTATTTTAGACACAAAAGAACTAATGTTAGGTGTTAATAATTCCTCTAAAAGGCAGTCTTCTAGGGACTAACGTCCAAGATAAAATTGGTAGTTGTAATAAAATAAGATCACTTTAAGAAGGAAACTAGTAGCTTTGTCTCTTACATCATATAGTGAATTTTATGCACTTCTGTGCCTGATTCTCTCAGGAGACAAGTTTCTGTGGGTTTACAAGAAGGAATTAGGTGGGACTTAAAGAGCTACTCAGGAACCAAGTGGCATCAAAGATATGGCACTGCCCAAAAAAACCTACCTAGTCAAATTTAGGTCATATGCCTTAAGGAGACAACCAAGAAGTAAAATGAGAAGGAAAGTTTATATTCAACTCCTGAAGAGGTTCTGAAGCATCCTTCAGTTAGAAACTATAAACTGACAGGTAAACACCTTTCTACTGTTCCATGGTGAAAATCTGTTCAAAAATATAACTCATTTTAAAAAATATTTATTTTTAAAAATATTTATTTACTTGGCTGCATTGGGTCTTAGTTGGGGACATGGGACCTTTGATCTTCATTGTGGCATGAGGGATCTTTCAGTTGTGGCATTTGAACTCTTAGATGCAGCATGTGGACTCTAGTTCTCTGACCAGGGATTGAACCTTGGCCCCCTGAACTGGGAGAGTGGAGTCTTAGCCACTGGACCACCAGGGAAATCCCTGAAGATCTTACATGAGGGGAAAAGTGGACTACTTACCAGGCTTCCCAGGTGGCACTAGTGGTAAAGAACTCATCTGCCAATGGAGGAGACACAAGAGACTCAGGAAGATCCCCTGGAGGAGGGCACGGCAACCCACTCCAGTATTCTTGTCTGGGGAATCCCATGGACAGAGGAATCTGGTGGGCTATAGTCCACAGGGTTGCTAAGAGTCCGACATGACTGAAGCGACTTGGCACTAATTTTTTTTCATAGCATTTTGTTACTCCTGCAGAGTTAAATGGATTACATAAACATGATTCATCAAGTGATAAGCCTATTTTAATTCTGTAA